TGGGGTGTGTGTGTTGTGTGTACGGATCGTTTCATTATTATGGTAGAGGGGCTACGTGTGCCCCCACCTCTCCTGCTGGACGTCCTGGTATGTGGCCTCTCTTCTATGGCAGCCATCAGGCCTCGGCGCTCCCAGGCGAGCTGGGACCCTCACAGCTTGTGTAGAGCAGCAGAAAGGGCCCCCATACCCCCCTCACTTAAATCCACACATCCCCCCACACCCATCATATATCTCCTCCCCCATCTCCAATCCTTACACTCCCAACCTATCTCTACCATCTACCCCCCCCACTCCCCCCCACCTATCCCCCATCACTCATAACCCCCCCAACCCCCACCCCACCCCCCATAGAGTCTACGCCCCCTCCTCCCCATAAAGAGACATACTCCCCATACTATCCACCCATCCATTGTCCCCTACCATACACACCCAAAGTTCACTCAACATAATATCTAAAGCTTGAGTCCTGAGCTAATATAAGTCTCCACTACACCTCGCCGTACTCTCGCTCTCCGGAGTTAAGCCCAGACTAACATATATTTTGTGCTCATAGTAACATAGGTGCTATCTAGCACTGATACCACGTCCTTAGTCACTCCACATACTTGATAAACCTATGATCATGCTCTAAATTTGAATGTCGTCTACCCACTCTGTGTCAACACAACTCGTCTATTCAGGTGTGGTCCACTATAAACTCTTGTTGTCATACCTCAAATAGTACATCCTTCAACCCAAATGTCCCCACAACGTCCCCTAACTATGACGAGAATCAATTGCCTACTCTCTCCTCCATGATCACATGTACTCCCACCATATCTCTGTGTCTCAAACTCCTATCATCTCCCATTATTGCACTTCCCACCCTCCACACCCCAATATGTGATACCTCACATTAGTGTCCACTCATCTCTACACTTCGATCCCTTTCCGACTGTTCATCCCTCTACCACCATCCTGCACACAAAAACGCCAGTATAGACTCATACACAGTAGAAGTGTAACACTGTGCTCTCGCTAAGTCACAGAAAACAACAACAAAAGACACTCACCTCATTTATCTAAGAAAGAGATGTGTGTGCACTAGAGCTAAACCATCCAATGTGTGTGTTCTAAAGATACTTACCAATTTCAGTCACTCTTGCATTTGTCTCCGCGTGTGTGTCTCACACTTTCTCTATGCACAAACCATCTCCAAGACAACTAACCTCATCAATACACCATCCACCCTGTATATCTGGTGTCCGCTTCATGTCCCATACATGATACCACTACCTCCTGAGTCATACAGAAGTCCTCAACGTCACCGTCCACATTCTGATATAGATATTCAGTACATAGATACACCCCTCACATGTAATCACCCTGCTCACCATACATATGATACCACTCACGTTGGTACGTCCCACACGTATCACTATAGATACCCATCAGTGTTAGTGAGACCCTCTCCACTTGTGTGTGAAACCCACCACCCATACTCCCCGACTAACAATGCTACACCTCTGTCCTGTCCCATAACATTCCTCTAACACTCTAGTGACAGAATACTGCTCTCCACTGTCCTGTTATAACCGATATATCAACTAATCTTCTGCGATTCCTCCTCCCACTTCCCTATGTTCCAGACGTGTATGTGTCCCACTCGTCTCGTGTCTCACGCCACCAGACTATAATCTCTCATAGATCATATGTACCTCTCCCCTCCACACACCCTCTGCAGAACTCTGTAACACCTCTCACTATAGTGTGTGTCACTCACTAGTGCTCTTCGTGTATAAGAATTCCTAAAGGCACCTGTACACTCTCCTGTAGCCACTTATCACTCCCCTCACAGAGAACCTCTACCGCGTCCACTCTTTCTTATAGATCCCTATAACTACCACCCTCAACTCATAGATGAGACCTACCCAAAATACACACTCCCTAGTCTAGTCTAGTCCTACACATGTGCACCAATTGTACCTCTCACCCCCCCAGTACCACCTCACCTGCCAGTGACAACAGACGTGTGGTCTGAACCTCACCAACTCCAATCTCCAGATACCTAGCAGACGACCCAAGAACAATACCTCGTCACACATCACAGAACCGTCCAATTCCACCTATCCCCCCTAATGTACCTAGAATTGTGTGAGTGTGTGTGTGCTGTCTGCTCGTTTTGCTGTGTTGCCCTGGACCTATCCAGAGTGTATATGTGTCATCTCGAGTTTCCTTGTACAAATCCACTGTATCACAACTCAGCTATCAGTCACCCTATAGTGGTCCGTGACTGTGAGTATACAGTCTACGCTATCACATATTGTAGTACTCACATCACATAATAACATTTGGGATGATCACATATCACCTCCGTCCCGCCCACAAGATATCCCTTGTCCCTTGAATAGATTTCATCACCTTTAGATATACCTCTATCATAATAACTCAGTCTACCCCATGCAAGACCTGCCTCGTGCAATCTCACCTCCCTATACTTATCCACCTCAATCTAGTAGATATCTACTCCTCACCAGAAGGTCATTATGTATTGATACTATCATATTTTCTATGTGTGTGTCACACACCTGTGTGTGGCCCATGTGCGTAAACAAGATATAGACCATATCTCGCCTAGTGTATACTCACTCCCAACAAATGATAGATTAATCCACTCATCTCCATTAAGTGTGTATCAATCCCCTTACTACCAATCGATGTCTCTCTCCCCTAACATCCCCCCATCCCATCCCATCCTGTCTCAATCCGTGCTCCTCCTACCCTCACAATGAATAATCTAACACACACCTCCCGTGTCACTAAACTCTTCACTCCCTATAAGAGCTCCCCTCCCTCTGTCCTAGTCACCCCTCTCACACAAGAGACCAATACTAGTACCAGTACTCCCTATAGTAAATCCTGTGTGTGCACTATGTATAATGATCAGACTCTGCTCCTCGAGAGCACTATGTTCAAACCCCACATCCTCTTGTGTCCCTTCTAATACCACTCCTACCTGTCGATTAGGGTAGTTGATACCCTTCACATCATCTAATAAGTAGATATCACCTTATACCGAAGATAGACCCAGACAATGCAATATAACGTACCAACGTCTGACCTCTATACTCTATGTCAACCTCTCAATTATATTGTCACCACTGCACGCAGTCTCAAAACCCCATCAACAAAAATTTCCCAAATATCTCCCTCAACTCACATACCATCACGTCCCCACTCTCCTGCCTGTACTCAAGTGTTACCTCCTCTCCGCTACCGTCCGCTATCCCCTCTCATACATCCCTGCTAGCCCCCATAAACTCTGCTACACCGACTAAGATGTAAGAGCCATATATGAATAGTCTAGTTGTCATGTCCCCCCGTAACTGAGCACCCTGTCGTGTGTTGCGTTGATTTTCCACTCCCCCCACCCTCTCCCCACATCACTCACCTCTCTCTAAGTACCCTCGTGATGCATGCGTGTGAGAGTCTGCTTCTTTAAACCTCTTTTCAAACCATGTGTTTGTTTTCTGTTTTTCTCCTTTTTCTGTTTTTACTAATTTGAGAATCAAGTTGTTTTAAAATATACACAAGTTTGATATAAATAATTAGTTTGAATAGATTGATTGATAAATGTACTTTGTTCAGATCGGTCAAAGCTTTTGGCACAGCATTAGTATTCACGTGCACGCAGATCCTGTTTTTTATTGTTCTGTCCTTGCTGAGGGAAAAAGGATAGGATGCTTCGGGACAATCCACTTGCCTAAATCCTGTGGACATTTGTTTCCCCGTCTTGTTTGTCCAATTCTGTTTCAATCGTTTCATTTTCTATTCTGCTAATGGCCAATCAACAATTGTGTGAAGTCAATCAAGATGAAAGCGGTTGTGATTGTATTTGGCCACAAGCACAGCCGTAGATCGTCTCTCAGCCCAAAGTGTCTGATAGTGACTGACATGGATCTATGTAAATGCATTAAACTTCCTCTTCGTAATGAGTAAAATGTACCTGAATAGATTTTGTTACCAAAGTCTGTGTTTAAAATACATTTTCTGGGAAGAAAAACAGATTTTTTGAAAATATTACACACAAAAAAAAGTTTAATACCCCAGCAGTTGCTATGCCAACTTCTGTGGTGACCAGGGAGCTCATTAATAATCTTTCCATTGTCATATTCCAAAATTGCTCTTGGCTGGCACATGATTACAGAGCAGTTCTCTCGTGTATTATAAGTATTCAATTTCCAAATATGTTGTTTTTGGACAAGCTCCTTCATCCATCAGGCCTCTATGTATAAATATGTGTGTGTGTTGTGATGGTTGCAGGGGCCTTAGATACAGATGGTCTGCCACGTTCTCAAAAGTTTGCTCCGGGGAATGTCTCCTGAAGGAACAGTGAAAGTGATGAATAACGCATGACATTGTAAAGTGAGTTAGACAAAGAAACTAAACCCTTGACGATGAACCCTCATGATAGTTATCCTCAAATACTCTTCAGCAGGTCGCCTCACAGACATTCATAATTGTCGTACGTCACTATATCTCGCTCATGCACGACCCGCTGCAGACGTATGATAAGAAGTAGAAATCCGGAGCCAGGAAAATAAATATTTTTGGGATTCTCTGCGTTCACATCTGCCAGGCTGATAGGAAACAGATAAGGCATACAGTACTGGCGCAGCAGCACTATCCTCCCCCCTCCCCCCCAGACACACGGCGTAATACCTCGACAAACATAAGGGGCCTCCACGAGACACTAAACTAATATGCTATTTAAATCCTCTGCTCCTCGTTTAGAAAAACCATTAGCTCTGAGTATGCATCAAAAAAGTGCTCCGACGGCTTAGTCAGAGTCAATAAAGCATGAAACTCATTTGCGGCTCCCCTCGGGGTTCAGAATATGAAATGAATAGGTGCGCCAGTGCGTCGGGCCGAGGAAGAAGCCATAAGTACGGACCATGTCAAGAAGAAGAAGGAGGAGGAGCAGGGTTTGGGAATGAGACAAGTGAAAGTGGTGGGCTAACCTCATGATCTCCACATTAGGGTTGTTCTCTCCTTGGAAAAAGTGGTTGCTGCGATCGGTTCTGACCACGTCTTTGTCCACGGTGAACTGGACCTTCCTCCAAAATGCGCTGTGTTCTTCGGGGCTCATGGATAACCTTAGAAAAAAAAACATCTGAGTGAGACAATTGACTTTTAATGAGCATGGGACCACATTCAAACAGAGAAAGCAAATCACTGTGATTCTGCAGGCGACGCTTTTATGCCGTTTTCACCTGTCCGCCCACTGGTCTGTTCTTAATGCCGATTATTACAAAAAAGATTCCACTGCGGGTCGAACACGTCGTGCTGAAAGATGCCATAACCTTTTTATAATTAAAAATGGACTCTGAAAATGGACTTTGAAATACCATTAGAAACCGCTACCTTTCCAACAGCAGTGAATGGACCAGTCTCTTGTGCCGTTTAGTATGAATCGAGAAGAAAATGACATCTAAATGATAACAAAGGCTTGACATGTCTCTTCATGCAATGAGTCTGTATTATACATAACATTAAGTTAAAAAGCGAGTTAGACAAAGAAATAGTTGATTTGCCAATTTCAGAATAGATAACCTTTCCAACAGCAGTGAATGGACCAGTCTCTTGTGCTGTTTAGTATGAATCGATGTATGCAGTGTGTGCGATTCCACACACGTCTGCGTGATGTGGCTGCAACAACATGATCAGCCCTCACATTTTACTCTAAATCTCACAAACAAATGCAGACAACGGAGGTGTTTGAACTACTTTTATTCCTAAACGCTCCACCAGGAAAAATAACAGGACCATGAGCTATCCATCCATTACACCGGGTAGCACCTACAGCATCACTATAACCAAGCAGCAGTTCCTCTAACGAGCAGCGGGGATTTAATTAACACTGTTTGTTTTGCATGCGGCTCCTCCAGGAATTCACCGCACACACCTGATGCAACGCTCTGCAACTGTTTAGTTTCTGCCGCTGCGGTCGCAAACCACTTCTACCTGGATTAAGTCATGTTGGGCAGGAAACACAAGCTGCACCAGCCTTGCTTCACTTTAATAATATTTAGTTTGGAAAGGCAACCGGACATGGAGCCTGGCCATGTTCCGCTTTCACACCACCACTTTTTTTTTTTAAACACGAGGAAATGAATAACGCCGTGATATTTGCCATTTATTTTCAGCCATAAAACACAGATTTACAAAGCCAGAGAAAATGTTACTCAAAGATTTTAAGTCCCTCGGGTTAAAATAGACCATTTAAGGCTGCAAACGAACACAGATCAAAAGTTCATGTATTTTTAACCTAAAATATTATATATATTAATATATATAATGCAGACTTATTACATGAAGAGACATGTCAAGCCTTTGTTATCATTTGGATGTCATGTCATTTTCTTCCCCCCCCCAACCCATATCTTGGGGGGGGGGGTGGCAATCAGAGCTGCCATTCAATGCTCAAAGCACCAGTCCCTCGCTGATCCTCCTGCAGGTGGTGAGTCAAGAGGAAGATGGCTTCTCTCATCAAAGGCACAGGCTTGGTCTTTCAGCGGGGGCTTCAGGCAAAGTGGGGTTATGTGTCTTGCCCAGTGACACAATGACAGCGGACACCAGAGGGAGTAGGTGACATGGGTCATGCGGGGATCAAACCCATTAGGTCCAAAGACCAATGCTCTACCAACTGAGCTACTGTCGCTGCATCATTTGGATGGTTATCACTTAGACAATTTTACAAGGTATTGTAATTATCTTTTTTCTTTTTTTTCTTTTTACAAGCTTTGAACCAAGTATCACCATTATGACAAACAGAGTGTCATATTAGTTTCACATTGTAAGGGTTAGCTTTTGAAAAATGTTCACCTGTTTACGTGTGTAGTCTTAAATGGTCTATATTGGCCGTAAGCACTGAAGGGTTTTACCTGAAGGGTTTTAATGGTTTAACCTATTTACTATAATCTTTCGAAGCAAATTATTCCATCTGAAGCCTCTTGGAGAGAACTAGCAAGGCCTGAGTTTTAGAGAAGGAAGACACACAGATTGTAGACGACGCAGCATGTCAGAGATGTCATGTACACAAAATAAAGAAAAGACGGCACAGCTGTTGCTCCCACTATTTTCCTATTGCTTGATTTGACGTCTCATGGAGGGACAAACGCCAGAAACCTCACCGCTATGAAAAAAGTGGGAGCAATAGTTGTGCAGACCAACAATTAGCAATAGAGATCTAAGCATCTAAGCCATAAATAGTTCTGTATTTTAGCCAAACATGTGTTGTAACTAATTTGACAAAGTCCTTCTAGTAATTAACATTTAAACCTCAATGGCTTTTATCTGGTTAAAGCTGGGGTGCCCAACTTTGTATTTGTCCCAAAAGACGGTCCGAAATAAGAAAGCAAGTTAACTCCACAGAGAAATTTGTCCTCTGCATTGGACCCCTCCTGAATGCCACTAGGGCCTCTGTCAGGTGCATGGGTCGTAGTGGTGCAGAGTGGTAGGGGAGAACATGCAAACTCCACTCAGAAAGACCCCCTTCTGACAAGGATTCGAACCCACAGGTTTCTTGCTGAGCCACAAAACATAAGAAAGAGCCCTGTGAGTCACTAGTTTACACTTTGGGCAGGGAGCGGATTGGCTGCGAGAGTGATCCTATACTTTTCACTTCTATAGATGCTGGTGTAAAAAACGTGACAGAGGCAAAAATACATGTAAAAACATTGGTGATTTTTTTTTGTGGTTTGAAAGACAGGTACCACAGCTTTGCATAACAACTCGTGAATTAAAAAAGAAGCATTAAAAAGCACCGAAACACAGACAAAACACCCTCATATATTTCCTGCATTCATTCATAACTTAAAAACGCATATTTCCCCCATGCTGATTCTGTGACCACCACTGGGTCAAAGGCAATGACATTCGTAACAGAAACGGGGAAGCTGGAGCAGACAGGAACGCTGCCTCCTAATGATCAACCAGTGGCCCCGGAGGCTGCTCTTGTCAAGCGGCTTTAACGGCATGTGCAGAACTGGCTCTCTAATTACCCTGCTCCGATAACACCTTCTGATGGACTGTAAATGTTAATAGGCCATGGAGGAGAAACCTGTCCAATTATCTTCATTATAACCCGGCGACGTTTCGCAATATGTGGACAATCCGGTGCTCGTGGTTTCAGGCAGGACTGGGTTATTCTCCGCGCATAACCGTTGCCTCCTCGCTCCCTCTTCTTTCCGACACGTTTGCATGATCTGATAAGCGCTGACATGTTTTCTCTCCGGAGACCTTTTATTTCGCGCCCGGCACCTCCCCCGAACACTTCCCTGATTGTGCCTATTGATTACAGGGAGCGGGTGATGAGACAAGCCACAGTATGCACACGTATGATTTAATGTGTGAGTGAGTGTGCGTTTGGCAGGCGGCGGAGGAGGCCACATGGTCCACGGGGCGCCGCTGAGCCTCTGGCGGGAACTTAAACGTGCCGTTGATGTGTGTGTTGTGACCAAGGGGATTACCTTTTAAATTTACAGATATTAATACAGTTCAGGCAATGTGACTCTGAACATTGTAAAGTGCTTTGGGTGACCTTGGTCTGTAAAAATGCACTATATAAAAAAAGATGACTTATTGCTTTCAATGGACTTATTTTCTGGAACCACGGTAATATGGTCGTTATACAGTAAAAACAGTCATGGTGGTTGCAATGAAATTAAACTAGCTAAACTCAATGCAAACATGTATATAATGTATAGAGGGAAATTAGAATATTGTTCAGAAGTTCATTTATTTCTGTAATTCAACTTAGAAATACAAGTATGACACTAAAAATTAAAATATGAAACTAATATATGATTGTAGCCCACATAAGCCCGATGTAATAAGGTAAGGGCCCCTGAGCTTTAACCCATTACTACTTTGTACTTATTGTACCAGCTGACTATAAGCCGCTTCTTTTTTCAAGTTCTTTGGACCCTGCGGCCAATGTATGCATTTTTACTTTGTGCGTCCCATGGGGTTTTTAATTCTTGTTAAAGGAAACATGTTATTGAGTAGGTCATAGAGTACTAGTAGGGATGGGGAGCTCATTATCAAAGTTTATTATCAAAATAGATGTATTTACCAGAGAGTTGATCATCACAAGTCAGCAGAGTAATTAAACACCTTCATAAAGTCATGTGTCCAGTTCAAACAGTTTGGATTTGTTTTGCATGTAAAAATCTGCAGCTTCTATTAGTGTGGCCTATATTTGGAAAAAAATATACATTGACATTTACATTCACATTCAAAGTTGAATTTCATTAATTTAATGAATAGATGGACTTTTAAACCATATTCTGAGTTTCCCCATTTTCACCAGTATAATCGCACTCATTACTTGCCAAATGTTTTTATTATACATGTCTTTTTTGGAGAGTAAGTTAAGGGTTGCCAAGATATTTCTCTACTCATATTGACTGAAGATGTTTTTCAATTTGATTCTCTCATTTAAATACAGGAAACAAATCTTTGAACAATCAAACATGTTTCAACAATAAAAGCATGTGGTTTGGAGTCAAATAAAAATGCTTTAGTGTTGAACTGGAATGGACCACATGCTTTTCATTCAGGTCAAAAAAGTTTATCATTGAAGATTTGATAGAGTGCTTCATAATGAGTGCTTCAAGTAGATATTCTAGCTTTTATATTATTTTTCTATATCTTAAAAATAGAGTTGCTAATAAAAGAAGCAAAAAATACAAGCACATGCTTCTGTCCTTGAAATAAGAGAAGCCTGCTCGTACATTTGGCAAATCTTATTTAAAAACAGGCACAAATACACACTCATAGAACGATACAGCTTTCAGTATTTCAGGGAAAAATAAACTTCTTTTTGTATATTTCTATCAGCGCATATTCCTAAGTGTGTGTGTGTGTGTGTGTAGAGTTTATTATTGGTAGAGGATGTGTGCCCCCACCTCCTCTGCTGGACGTCCTGGTAGTGGGCTCTCTTCTGCAGCCTCCAGGCCTCGCGCTCCCCGGAGCTGGACTCACAGCTGTAGTAGTGCAGCAGGAAGGGCCACACCTCCCCACGGATGGACGGGTCGATCCCTCCGAAGAAGATGGCCTGAAGAGAGGGAGGTTATGCACAAAGGGAGTGGGCTCAGAAATGCAGAGGGCACCGACAGGGCACAGCAGAGAAACATGTCCATTTCAGCAGAACAAGCTGGAAGCAAGAGGCTTTTCAAACAATATCTTTTACATTTGCCTTTGAATGTAATATTATCATCCCCTAAAAATAAACTACATATAACATAGTAGTTTAAAAAAAAAAGTGCTAAAATGAGAGAGAAAAAAACAACATTGTGATTTGAGTTACCAATTTTTTTTTTTTCTAAACCTTGTTTCTTTTTGAAGAATTGCACTTCATCCTACTACTAACAATAATGTAATAAGCAACAGTTAAGCATTGAACCTCTTTTTAGAGGTCAATTCGATCACAAAATACTTTTCACCTTTTTTAATACATTGGTTTGTTGTTTGATGTGTGTGGTTTTATATTAAGTGAGTGAAGTCACCCATTACTAGTTTCTCAGTGAAACAGTTGAAACAATTTAAAAATGACAGAGAAGCAGCAGCTGTGGTAAATCAAACACAAGAGAGCGTATGTGGCGTATGAGAATATGAGAGAAACTTGTTTACTGTGAAAACAGTCTGGTCACAGTCAAACTGCCAAATCGTCATTTTAGGAAGACGTCGACCAACATGAGTCAAAAGCAGAGCAGAGAAATGACTCACGGGCCGAACAGGAGCAGGACACGAGCGACTGAAGCCGAGCTGAGTCAGAACGAGAGTTTGAGTCTCAGAGGGCACGTTCACACTTCAGTCCCAAGTGAACCAGAGTTCACTTCAAGTGAACCAGAAACTTAAATATTTTTCATTAGTGGAGATGTGAAAGCACCAAAGGGGTGACACTGTTCCAGTAGTTATTCAACCAAAACATTTCACACTATGGATTCTGAATGCAAGATCTTCATTTTGACTAAAATGTAAATATTGTAAATATAAATTCTCTTTAGTGGCAACTGGTCAGAGCAAAGAAACTGTTAGAACCAAAACAATGATTTGATCTAATAGGAAGATACAAATATTGTTCTTTTTGGTCATTGGTCAACAGCAACAAAAAAACAGTGTTAATATTTACAAGGGTTTAGGTTGAAGGTAATGAGTAATTTGCCCTAAACCTCTAAACAAAGTCAGCCATAGATTATAGTTTCTAAAATGTCCCTTCTGAACTTGTGCAAGCACCTTTCTGAGCTTGTACTCCTCCTCCACTTGTCCGCTGTGGTTGAGGTGCCGCAGCCACGTGGTGACCTCCAGCCGCCGGTAGAGCTTCTCCTCTGGGTGAGTCTCGGCGGACGGCAGGGTGGGCCTCTGGATGGAGAACTGCATACAGGACTTCTCATCAGACACCTGCAGTCCAACCACAAACATCTTTTAGAGTTTGCCAACACAAAACCGACACAATAAATACTGGCATTTTTAATTTGATAGGATTAGAAACAGAACATTTCCAAGCTCTTAAATTAAAAAGTCAAAACAAAAGCCTTTGTTCCCCGCAGCCGCATTTGACCAACATTATAGGTACTTTCCATTTATTCCAGATCTATTCTAGCCCCATACATCTGTTTGCAATGTGGATCTCTGAAAATTACAAAATATCAATATATATAAAAACATGGTAAAGAAAACCATAGAATAAAAAAAAATATCAAACATATACACACACATAAACATAAAGAATAATGTACATTAAATATAAATAAATATTTTTTAATTCAGAAATGTCTTTTTTTTTTAAATGAGTGAGAGAAGGACCTGGTCTCTGGCCTGAGTTTCTCGACAGCACTTCCACTGTTGGAACACCTCCGCCAGCTTGTCCAGACCAGCGTGGTGGAAATGAAGGATCTTGTACTGGCTCTCACGACTCGCTATCACCAACTGTCCACTGGTGCAGGCGTCATCACTACAAAAACATGATGAAATATTAATAAAACATGAAATCAATTATTCAGCACTCTCATTTGTCCGGGTTCAAAGAGTCAAGTACAAACCAACAACCTATGATGTGGCAAAGCAGTGCATCGGATTAACGGTTTGTTGCTTTTTGACAAATATGCAGAGGATTGTAATGTGTTTAATGCAATGAAATGTTATGTAGCAAAAATGTTTAAATGAGTTACAGACAGCCATCTACACACAGCCAGTATACACTCAAGACAATTATACCGGTAAATGTATGCAAGCAAAAAGGGGAAATCTGCAGAATTTCCAGTAAGGATGGGATTTTACCAATGAAATTAAACCCAGGCGTAAACAAACTCAGCCTCTAAGGACACATGAGGCAATCGCAGGATCTATATCAGTCACAATAAAACATTGGCCAAAACTACTATGGATTTTGAATAAACTGTCAGAAAAAAAAAAGAACAAGTTCAGTAAATGAGGTTTAGGTCAAAAACCCAAGTCAATTTGTGACTGGAGAGGAGACCTTCTACAGTATATGTATTGATTCATTTTATGTGTACACAATCAATGTGTACACTACAACTTTTATAGCAAAGGATAATGTTCAATGTCCATCCAAACATCCATGTTGAAGGGCTTTTTACACTAAAGGAAAACATATTACATATAATCTTGGTGATTTGTCACAGAACAAGCTAGCCCACCCCTGACCCTGATCTTAGTGCAATATTACATCCTTACAGTAAAGGCACAAGTGATCTCCACAGACTGGAGATGGAGGAGGATTTTATTGCACACAAAGTATAAACCAAGAGAAAAAGTAGTTTTTATGTTTAAAGTTGCGCTAAAGTTATGTGCAAGTGTCATAGGGAATATTTTTCAGTGATGGAGTTCAAATGACAGACATATTGTTCCATCACCGCTGCCAACCTCCAAAATAAGTCTCGGACGATTGATCAATGAAAACTATTCCCCAACAGCAAGGTTTTAAACTAACAGGGTGTTCACGGCAGCTTCACTCTGAGCCTTCTGACCCGTGAGTGACCGCAGACGTGAGCCTGACCTGAAGAAGAGCCGCAGTGACCTCATATGCCCCAGGTCGACCCGGAAGACGCCGCACAACTGCTCCAACGCCAGGACCCTCTGCTGCTCCTCCCACCGCACGGCCTGCGATTGGCTGCTGCTCTCAGAGGGGGCGTGGCTATCCAGGCTGGAGGCGGAGCTTACAGAGTGCGCCATGGACTCTTCCAACTCCCTGCGGAGAACACGACACAACTTGAGAAAGACGTGTGTTTGGATGTACACAAACAGGTTAATGGTTAGAGGTTTGGTCGGGTTCAGAAACAGAGCAAAGGACTGTTAAGAAATGATTTATTGTAATATGGTTAATTGCTACTTCCATTTTCAAACACTCTAAGAAGAATAGCTTTGGCCTTGGTAAAAGAAGGAAATCAACAACCTTCAACAGAGGAGCAAAAATATAAAACTTTAAATAAAAAATGGGAGGTTACTGAAATGCACAATCCAGCTTTTTCATGTCCGATATACTTTGGCTTGGTATTGGTATCATATCAGTGAAGGAACTGCAAATAGCCTCCCCCTCAGCAGGACAGTAACAAGTGAAATCAATTAATCACAGCTAATTGATTATAGAAATAGATATGTACAGTAAGGTAAAATTACAATTAGACTTAAACATAAACATAACAAGAACAGGTTTTAGGACTCTGATAATTCTACAATGACTGCAGAATTAATTTTAAATGTGTAGAGTTTTTGTAGTAAGCATTTCTAACCAAACAAAACAATATGTAACAGGTAATCTATATTAAGGATGTTCTTCAAGGGAATCACTGGAGCCTTGTTTTGGTCACATATATAAAAAACAAAACAAAAAAAGCATATTCACTGACAATTTGGGATCTAACCAACTAATTGATTAATTGAGGGAACTCATCGATTATCAAATGTTGTGTAGTTTCTTCTTCTTCAGTATCAGAAAGATAAATACATTTTTCTTTTCCTTGTTTACCCCATCAGCCAAAAGTATGTCTGTGGTTTAAGGATATTTGATCGGAGAGGTATGTGGATTGGGACGTACTACAAATCAGCGGCGGAGATTGTCGTCTGATCAGGTTCCAGACTCCTGCGTTCAGCAAAGACTAGAGACAAATGTTGACTGCTATATATATTTTTTCCTCATACATAATGAAATATATACTCTAGTTTTGCAAATCTCCTGATATAAGTAGGACAATCTGCTTAAACATACACACAGAATCCATGTTTGGACTCCTAATCCTTCTGTAAATTCTTGTATAAATCTATTCACATTTAGCTTCTAGCCGTTGTTTTGTATCTCAGTGTGACTCTGCCAAGAAGCGGGGAATGAGAGGAATGCATGGAGGCTTCTGAGGACACACACACACACACACACTCCAAAGAAAGCCCTCTACACAAATCAAACTGTCCAATTTCCCTTGTCATTCCCTCATGGCCCACGCCGTGTTGTTCCCGGCATTGAAACTTGATCCGGGGTTCCTTCTGTTACCGAAGACAGCTCAAACCACGGAGCGACCAAAACACATAAAACACACCAGCAAGTAGTAGTGGTGGTAAATAGACACACATATATATATCGCACGATTGTGAGAGCGCCACGCACTCAAACACACTGGAGCGTGGATAATGACCATAATGCACTCTTCCACACGTCTCAAGCCAGGCCAAAGCTGAGAGAATGGGCCAGCACTAAAACATGTTAAGCCTGAGACATTCGAGAGCCCAGATAAATAAATGCATTTGTTACACATTAGGGCTTGTAATGTTCTGCAGATTACATGTTTTGTTTTTCCCCACTTAAAAAAACAAAACAAAATGTAATACATGAGAAACAAAGTGGTGTTTAGAAGACAGGTTTAATCTGTAACAGGCCAGAATCAATCAAGTCGGGCTAATCATTTCCCTGTTAGCAGATGGGAAAATAACAAGGCGAATCAATCCAAGCTGCACTTCCCTCTGCTATCAAGTGATTTACAGCGTACTGTCTCATGTATCAAGCCACAAACCAGACAGAGGATTACGAGAGGACTGGCAACAAGCTCTGCAATGAAGTCCGGCCTATTAAACTAAAGAGCATATACTGTACGGGTTTTTCACAGCGGCCCCAGCTCGCCATTCCAAATGTTAACAAGGACTTTAGAATCCGTGTAAAGTGAAGCGACGTGTTTGAACGCAGTAGTGGTCATAAATAAGTCATGGACATGCTAGAGAAAATTAGCATTGATCCGAATAGCGTATAAAATACCTATTAAAGCTGGGGTACTTAACTTTTTTTAACGTGAAAGAATCTATTGTGTTTGTCGTAGCAGAAAAAAGCAGAAAAAGCTATGGCTTAGGGCCATATTTTTGTATGGCCCTAAGCTTCAAACTGTTAGAACACACAGCAAATGTAGTAAAAAGAAACACATTGGTCTATACAGAGCAGGATGACCAATGTCCATAAATGTGAATATATTTCCATAAATGTCCCGGATCAGTCCCTTGCCCCTTACGACTGCCCTTATACAACTGGCTCTTTAACCTGCGCTGTGAAACGTCTATTGTGTGTACCTAGTGTGCACTTGTGTAAAGGAGACCTTATGATAATCTTTATGGAGATTTTATATGCATGCTTGTCTATCTAGTTTACTTTTATAACTTTTATAACTAGTTTGCACAGTGAGCCAAAAGCAAAGTTTGTGGCTTGCTGTTACAATGGCAATAAAAGAATTCTGATTCTGATGTTATCTTTTGAATACTTGGAAGACAGAACCCAATGAGTCACTATATGACACTTTGGTATGAGAGCGGAGGCAGGGCGGTCCTCTCGTTTTCATGTTTCTGTCTGAGAAAGCTGATCTAAATATGTGACAGAAAGAAAAATAGCGAGATAGAAAAGCAATAGTACATAATTGTGTTGAGCGATAAGTACGGTTTCTGTAGATGTTTTTTAGCATCAGATTGCAGCAGAGTTAATAGATTCGATTCTGTGTGTGAAGTCCCTTAAAATTCATGGTAACAGTCATAAAAGTAGGAACAATAACAAGTACTAGCTTTGTCAACTTGGAGAGAAATGTAAACGACAACTTTCCTCAAAGACAAGCGTTAAGTGGCGTTTGGAGTATTATGTAAACAAGCTGTTTTGACAGAGCTCTTGCCCAGTGTCCCATCAGACTGAGATCCAACTGCCCCAAGGCCCTTCAGAGCACTCTCCCCACACAGGAGGCTGTGTCCTGGGGCCTCAGCCTGAGAACAACCACCAAGAAAAGCTCCTCTCCCAGGACTCTCAGGGCCTGGTGCTAATCCCCAGAGAGGCTTTAGAGTGGAGTCATGGAGGTGATGTGAGCCGTATGGGGCATAGTGGTCAGTCAGTGCGTTACTAGGAAGACATGCTTTTGTAACAAAAATATAATATAATATATTATAAATATAATGATATTAATATTAATGATGCATCAGTTTTATATAGAGTTTTTTGGACACTTAAAGACGCTCCACATGTCATTATTCTTTCCCTTCATTCGTGGTGGTGATAAACTACTACAGTGGCCAAAGCTGCCCTGGGGCACACTGACAGAAGTAAGGCAACTATTGCGTGCCATTGACCCCTCCAACCACCAACCACACACACACAATGTCTAGGCAATGTGGGTGAAGTGTCTTGCCTAAGGACACGACAGTTTACAGCCGCCCCACTGTGGGATCTTGTGTTCCAAAAGGTCTCCCATCACAGTACTACAAGACCCTGACCTGCTTATCATCAGAGGTCTGACACCATCAGGCTTTCACAAGCACATATGGCCAGAAAATATAGGTGAATACTGTGAATTTGTTTAAAAATGGCATGAAAGTATTTAAGAGATTTGATTTGAACCCTAAACCTGAGGGATGAGTGGATTTTTTGTTGTTACATAAATTAGAAACAAATGTTGAGCAGACCTAAAGCTACAGCATTATCCAAGGCAGTGACAGTGGTTAAATCACAGCATTCTCCCTCACCTCCCTCCTTGCTCTCCTGCCTCCCCTTTCATCTTGCGCTGCACTCCCAAACGCAGCTTTTTCTGTCTGAATGATTCCAAGTGACATGTTTCCAGTTCCTGGCCCCTTAACAGTGTCAATTAAAGCAAAGCGCAGAGAAAGAGAGATTGAGTTTGTTCCAGGGTTTGGCCGCTGCGGTGCTCTCTTCAGTGCCCTAATCCGGAGAGCTGACATTCAGCCCACCACAACAACCCCAGGAGCACTGGGAATCAAAGGGCTTCACACAGACTTTAGGAAGGGAAGGGGGGAAAGATATTTGAGGGCAGGGACGTGCGGTGAGGTTTGTGATTGGGGAGGCACTGACTTTAAAAGTCAGATTTACAATCATTATTCAAATAAAATAGCATTTAATCACCAATGCAATGACATCCACAAACTTTATATACTGTAAAGATAAGAGAACCAGCTTCTTTTAATAATCTCACAACAAATCTAGCTGCTGACTCTGCTCCGCATCAAACAACATCTTTAAGAAGCGCAGGTGCGAGAGACGCGAGGAGAGAGAGACGCGAGGAGAGAGGAGCAGAGAGAGACAGAGAGGAGCAAAGAGACGGAGACGCGAGGAGCAGAGAGAGACAGAGAGGAGCAGAGAGACGGAGACGCGAGGAGCAGAGAGAGACGGAGACGCGAGGAGAGAGAGACGCGAGGAGAGAGAGACGCGAGGAGAGAGAGACGCGAGGAGAGAGAGACGCGAGGAACATAAACAATAATTTAAACAAGTTGCAGAACTCTTGAGCAGTGTTTGAATCAGTGTTTTTCGGAAAAGCACTACTTTGCCGGTATCTGTCAATGTTCAACATAAAACACAGATTAACAAACTCCTCCCCCGCAGCCGGACTAACCTCGTAAGTCCAGTGGTGGTCTCCCAGTCTATATTAATTCTCCAATTGAGAAAAAAAATCTTCATTCAAATCATCCATTTTCCAGCAAAAGAAATAGCATTTTGGGCTGATTGTTTGTTAGCAACTCTGGTATGAACTTTATGCTCACTATCACCCCTAGCGGTGAGGCACAGATACCGCCTGCCTCACGCCAAGCTTTTTCCTTGTGTGTTCATCTACGATCAAAAGACTTAAACTAAATATAAATTGTACACACATACGTGCAATACACTACTAAACACTAAGAGGAGTTTAAAAAATGTTTTTAAAGCAGGATATTTGAAACAAACGGTGATATATCAACTGCACGAGCTGAGTGCACTCAGACACACACACACACACTGTGAGGGAGCGGTCTGAGGTGAGGCACGCAGGAGCGCTGCCTCACCTCGTCTCTTTGAATAGGAATAACGGGATTTCGGCGATTTTGACTTCAGAAATGATCAAAACTGATGGGAACCGTGCCGAATATACATTAAAAGCATAGAACAGTGGATATAAATTATATATTTAAACTAAAATAATTATTAGTTTCCAATAATGGCAGGTGAGGCTCTGCCTCCCCTGCCTCCCCTGACTGCACGTCCCTGTTTGAGGGGTGGGCCATACAAAAAAGAAACAATATTGAAAGAAAAGAGTGATCAAGAGGAAGAGATGCAAAGTAAGGTAGCGGACAGGGAGAAGTGAGTGGAAGGAAGCGATAGTGAAGAGACTGCACAAAGGATGTGTGTGCCAGAGGACTGAAGTGCCATAAGTGAATGAGGATCAGAGCTGCAGAGGAGCAGAGGAGCAGAGGAAAGGTTAGAAGCTGTGAAGCAACAAGCGCTGCCAAGTCCCACACTGACTGTACTTACAGCACTGGCCTCTCACACTCTCACACACAAGGCCTCAACATTCTGGGCAGCAGATCTGCATCGCTGTGCAACCGCGAGGGGAATCGTAAAGTCAAATGACTGCAACACAATCACTGTCCAGATGGCTTCTCTGATTAGGAACAATCTGGAGTCATGGGTTTGTAGGATTTCAAAAAATATCTCAAGCCATCTGTGACGAGATAAAACATCAAATAAAAGGTATGGAACAATGATCTCAAACAGTTAAACATGAGAACATCCTCCCCATCTTCCATAGCTAATCTTCTCTCATTAAAAGGCTATGGGTTTCCTAAGCAAGTGACACGCCATAATTTGATTGTGGCTCCACCTTGTGGGAGAAGACGAGATTACAGAATAAAGGCTGATAGTGAATGTGTTCATTTGCTGAGTTGGAAAGAACATGTATGTAAAGGGAAAATTCAAGACTTAAACCTTGGTTTGCTTTTGTGTATTCTTCCATTTATTTCATTATTTACCTATATGGATGTGTTTTTTTTGTTAGGCTAAAATAATAAAGTAGCTAAGTAAAGTAAGTAGTACTTATTACTCACTTCCCGTTTCACTATTTCAATAGACAACAGGGTAGCTGCAGTTTTTGGTCCTTTACGATCAAAAAACGGATCATAAACGGCCAAACACAACTCAAACACAGAAGCGACTGGTGCTGACCATGTTCTATCACTTTGGAATTGCTAGTTGCTCACTGGCTGCTGCTTGTATTGAATGAGCCCTGTATAGGAATTCCAATGAGTAAGGACAAAGCGATAATAAAAAAAGCTAGTGGCAAATAAGATAAACCCATTTTTTATCATCATCTTAGAATTATAGGATTCAAATCTATACACACACAAAGTTGATGCAGAAAAGAGTGAAGTATTTTTGGTGTTGCATTGTTGGCCTAATATCGGCCAATGAATATATCTATCCACTTGTGTAATGCCTGGGATCATCATCGTTGGATGGGAGACCTCTGGGAATACCCCCTCTTCACAATAAGGATATTCCATCCACCATGTTTAGTGTGAATGTGGCATCAGGGTGACTAGTGGTGGCCTCAGGGGTGTAGTAAAAAAAACATTAGAAAATGAAAAGACTTTTACACCGACCTGCTCTCGTTGTCTAAAAAGACAGAGTTGCTGCTCTCACACAAAGCCTCGCTGACTGGAGACAAGCAGAATGGAGAGGAGAAGGTGTCGGAGTCTGAGCCCATGGTGCTGTCCCGGCTCACTTCATCTGAGAACTCACAGGAGCCTTCATCCCCCTCTTCACCAGCAGAGGGCAGCTCTGCTCCAGGCTCCACCACCACACTGCCCTCTGCGGAGGTGCTGCTGCTCAGGACCCTCTCCTCCTCCTCCTCAGGAGCTGCAGGGGGCCGACAGTGGTGCCTGTGGGACACAGTTGAATCTGGTTGAAATAAAGGACTCACAGCCTAGTGAATTATCGTGTGTTTTAACTCGGGGGGGATCTAGCAGCTCCTCAAACATGACATGTACTTATTTACGACGTGCATTATGCTGAAATTTCTCCACTGTGAGACTAAGGCCCTGTTTATACTGAGACGCTGCGCAGACGTTTCCAGGCCATTAACAGAAACGACCAGGCTCCTAATGCAAATTTCTCAGCGTTCACATGAGGTTGAAAAACGATGTAGTTCTAGCGGCCGGCCAGTAGTGGGCAGAGGAATTTTACAACACGACACACGACCCCCAGCCCCGTGCCCAGCCCCCCTCCCGGCAGTGTACTCACTTCCTGTACCAGACCCTCAGAACGCACCAACATCATTCTGCATTTTAACAGCAGCTGTGAAAATGGAAACTGAACCTAGAGCTTCGCGTGGTCTCGTTTGGACGAACGAAGGAGTAGAATTATCCTCTGTCCCGCGCTGGAAGCCCACGAAGCTAGTTAGTGCGCGTGGCGCCATTGTTGTTTTTGTTTGTTCTCCGCTACTGCGCATGTCCAAATTTACGTGCGGGGAGCAGCGCTGAGGTGGGGGTCAGAGCAGAGGGGGATTTCACACCTATTCCCCTCTCGCGGCTGTGAAAGGGAGCCCCCGCTGTGCAGCGTTTCTGAGTTGTCCCACTCTGCAGGCTGGATCTGAACACTTACGTTTTCACCCCCCTGGAACACAGTCTTCGTATGAACGGTTGGTAGCAACCGACATCCAACTATACCGTTTTACTGCCACATTGTCTCCGTGTAAACTCAGCCTAAGAAAGGTTTATCTTATCTTATCTTATGTCTCTTCTGTATGTTTAAGACTTAAGGTGTTCATCTAATAAGACCCAGGCAGTCTGTCAGATCTGCCACAACCAGGAACAGCTGATAAGGGACAGGTCACACCATCACAGGTCACCTCTGAAGAACGCAGGAGTCTACCCCTGAAACCTGTCAGGTTATTAACTCACTGACTGCCAGGCATTTTCAGATTTGAGAAGTGCGTTCTGCCAGCAATTTCAGGTGATTTGACCCAACTTTGAAGTGCCACAGAATATTCATTTTTTAGACAATGTAAACACCAAGGGCACCAAATTAAAGATTAACCTCTCTGCTTTACTCTGAAAAAAACAGTTTGTTTCTACCTTTTACCGTTCTTGAGCTATTCGCCATAGAACAAAGCATACTTTCACCCATAACACCTGGTCTGAGCAAGAAAACAGAGAAAACGAGCTGTATGTAAACAGGAACATATCAAGCAGAAAAGTGACTTTTAGATGCATTTTTGCTGCTTTAGTGACAACTCAAAACATCTTCACACTTGTTCTATTACAAAAATTATAAAAACATGACTCTGAAATAATACTTTTGATGGCAAATTGTTGGCAATTTATTCACAGATAGAAAATTTTACTTTCTTCTATTCCATCAACCAAAACGTCAAACAACAACAACACAAAGATCAATAAAACTATAGATGTATAAAATAGAATGACGCATGTGAATTTGAGTGTGTGTGTGTGAATGTCAGTGTGCGAGTGAGTGCGTGTGTGTCGGTGTGTGCGTGAGTGAGTGCGTGTGTGTGTTCGTGTGTGTGTGCGTGTGAGTGTTTGTGAGTGTGTGTATGAGTGAGTTCATCTGCTTTTTCAGTCCTCCCAGTAGTTCAGCTTTGAGTTGTAGAGGTTGAAACACTGTGTGCAACGGAACACGACACGTTGTGTACCATTTGTAGTTCTCCCTCCGTGAAGAAGAGCTCCAGAAAGTCTGGATCAGATGAATCCAGCTCCAGAAAGTCTGGATCAGATGAATCCAGCTCCAGAAAGTCTGGATCAGATGAATCCAGCTTCGCAGCCTCTGAGGTCCAGGAGCTCCTGTGAAGGGACTGACTCGGCTCCCACTGATCCTCCTGTCAGCCATCTTCCCCAGAGCTTCTGGGTGACGAACGTGCTGGAAAATGGATACACACAATAACTATATTATACAGTGAATTTGTTACAATAAATCAATACATAAAATACAATGAAGGCCTTCCTCCCACATTATTGACTGACTACTTTTGGACCAAACAAGTATACTATATTATTATTATTATATTATATTGCCATGGGATGTACAAGAATAGAAATAGTTTTTACCTTTTTTGTGCACAGCAACTGCCTCTTGATGCCCCACCTGTAAATAATATAAATTTGTAAATCACTATACCAGTAGAATATATACAATAATATGTACAATGGTATGAGGAGGCATTATCTTTACCTCTGCTCCTTGCCCTGTCAACCCCAATGGGGGAGGGCTCTTTTATCAGAATCTGTGAATGAAGAACACATTTCATTTAGTCAGAGCTATGTCACTGCAACAAGATGTTCAAGTATGAAATAACTAAACATAAAAATAATAAATACAACAATGATAAAACGCATAACTGGCATTTACTAAAGAAACAGTAGGATTTGAGCTCTGTGTTACTTTGCAGATCAGAGCAAGTTTCCGCGCCTTTCCCTCCTCTCAAGTTAGCATATTCTAATCTAGGCAATTTAGCAAGTTCTTACCTTCGACTCTTTGTGGAGCTTCTGGAGAGGATGCTCTGCTGGTTTGAGACTGCAACCACTCATCCGACTGAACGAATCCGAGGCATCAGTAACAACAGCAGCTGATACGCTGCGAGAGGCGGAAGGTGTGTCCCTGCTCCGGGCTCTTGCTCCGCGCAAATGTGGCTGCAGAGACGGACCTCCACCGGGGTCTCCACTCTCTCCCCTCTCGACCTCACTCACTGATCCGCGAGTCAATCTCTGAAGCAGTGTACACTGCTTATAACTATTCTTTTTCGCCATTACTCTTGCTATACTATCGCTAAACTAGATCGCTGATCCGTCTCAATGCTACAGCAGCACGCTCTCCAAACACTCCCACACTCCTCCTCCTTCTCTCCACTGACTTATGACCTCTCCTGTGGCGCAATACTGCATCCTACTGGTGTTGATTTATCATTACAGGTACATTTGCACTATATATCAGTATTGTGGGTCATTCACAAGGTGCGCCAGACATTACTGTAGCCTCCCATGTAATAACATGAAAAACTCGTCAAACTCGTCATGGGCAGTGAGCGTTACTATACAACATGACGAGTTTTGTCGTCATGGGCAGTGAATGAGTTAAGCATCAATCAAATCTTTATACCCTTCATCTTAGAAGAAAACCTTTAATTATATTAATACTTCAGGAAGCAACTTTATATCAAATCAGCTGCATTATCTTAGGTTTTTTTCCCACTTTCCATGGAAGGGGATTGTTTATGTCCAAAGTTACATACTGTTGCTTTAACTTGAACCCTGAGAGAGAGGTACCTGCGGCCTCTGCGGCGTGCGTGGCGGCGCACTGGCGAGCTCTCTGGAGTGATGTAGCGCATGGCCTCCTCATCCTGCCTCTGGATGCGGGAGTTGGGCACCCAGGTTAGAATGAGGGTGGTGCCCAGACATTCGTCCTTCTCCACGTGGACACACAGATACCCTGCAGAGAACTATACACTTAAAACTGCAGATTGCACACACAACAGATGGATTGCATCAAAAGCTTAATGTTTCGTAAAATGTTTGATAATCAGCAAGGATCATCCTTATAAAAGTTTAAAAATGCAATTCAATTCAATCTATTTTTGTATAACTCTAAATTAAAGCAGGTGTCTAGGAGGATTTACAAAGCCAACAACTGATCAGAAAATCAAACAGGAAATGTAACAAACATAGAAGCCATTGATCCATAGGGATTGGGATGACCAATATTCATAAATGCTATTAAATGCTAATTAAAGTCCACAAATGTCCAGGATCATTGTCTCAGAATTTAGAAACTATTGTTATTGCCATGATGTGGTGCAAAGAGCTTTACCTGGATGGTGCTCAGCTAATCCAGGCAGTGGCTCCGCTGGATGCACACAGACATTGTTTTTGGAGAAGATGATCTCTCCGTCCAGACCTGAGCGTAAGGACGCGCCCCATGCACTGTGGTTGAAGGTCAGGAGGTCAGAGGCCTTGGAGGAGGCACGCCGCAGAAGCCGACCCAAAGACATCTCCTCAGCCTACGACAGGCTGGGCCCATCCTACACAAGAGCAGGATTGGGATTTATAAACAGCATCTATATCAAGATTAAGGCCCTGTCCACACGAAGTCAAGCTCAGGCCTAAACGCAAAAATACTTTATCAATCCAGTGTATCGTCCATACGAGGCCGGCGTTTTGGGGGGGTGTAAACGAACATTTTTGAAACTAGGTCCCAGAGTGGAAAGATTTCAAAACTCCGTATATGCCGCTCCGTGGTTACTGCCTCTCCGCAATGTATCTGAGACGCTTCTTCTTCTTCTTCTGTCGATTATTGGCGGGTGGCAACCAGCAGCTTAGGTGCATACCGCCACCTACTGTACCGTGTGTGTCTCGGGAAGCTGGTTACTTCAGGTTACATTCTGATTGTGCATAGCTTACCACCCCGGAGGGGGGCAAACCAAACAACAAAAACAAAATAATAATAATTAATAAAAAAAAAAAAAAAAAAACAACTAACTATACTCTGTGAAAGAGCTCTGCCCCTTTTAGGAACCCCATCACTGCCCTTATACTCCTACTGTCCCCTCTACCCAGGATACCTTGTAGACTCCAAGCCCTCTCCAGCTCATACATCCTATCCCTCAGAATCCTCCTCTGCCTTTCATACTTCCTACATTCCATCAACACATGCTCCACGCTCTCTGGCACATCACACATATCACAATTCTCAGACTCTACTTTTCCCATTAAAAATAACGTTTTCCTAAAACCCGTGTGCCCTAATCTTAATCTCGAATGCACCACCTCTTCCTTCCTACCTTTCCCTTTACAACCTTCCATCCTGACGGCTTTTTGAATACTATACAGATGTCTCCCTTTACCATCTGAGTCCCACATATTCTGCCACACACGTCGAACTGCTTCAGTAATCAAGGATTTTGCCTCTCCTTTACCTGCTGGAATCCTCACAATGTCCTCATCTGGTAACTTTAGTGCCTTTTTTGCTATTCTATCTGGGTGATTCTCACGAAATCCAGATTTAAAACATTTCCAACTTCAAAATTTTCAAAAGGCATTTGAAGACTAATTTTCTTTTAAGCACTTTAGATGAATGTCTGAACTTACTAAACACATTATTTTTCAACATCGTTTTTGATTTTTTTAGTTGAATTACAGGTATTTTAGATATTGAGTGCCAAAAAAATCTCATTACCGCAACATGAAATCACATCAGATTTATTGTTAAAATAAAAAAAATTGGGAAATTTTAAAAGTAGCTAATTAACACTTATGCCAAGAGGAATGTATCAGTCAAGAAAGATTACTTCGTTATATTTATAAATTTGAAAATATTTATAATTTGTCTCATTACCGCAACACACTTAATGATTTACATCTAGTTTTTTTAGGATATTCCTTTGGAAACTGACAAAAATATATATTTTTTGTGATTGGGATATAAAAAGTAGTACTACAAATTGTGTCAACACAATTGCTAAAAAAACAAAAAACAAAATAATTATTAAATCATTTGCAAATGAACACGTTACGGTAATGAGAATGGTGTTTCGGAAATGAAATTCAATGTTTCGGAAATGAGATTTAGTGCAACATAGGTTAGAAATGATTCACATTTAACACCCAATGATATTTTAATGGTCAAAAGCATTTCATTTCATCAAAGTAGTAGTAACAAAATAATTCATTTATAACAAATAACAGTATTCATTTATTACATAGTAAGGTGGATGACAAATATAGCCTGACTCTCGCCAGACCCATGTAGTTCGCAGCACTTCACACATGAGTCTAGTACTGAGCCATAGTGGTTGGATTTCAGAAGGCAGGGCCTTGTAAAAAAAATCCTTGTATGTGATTGGATAGACCACTTGTCCGTTATCTTGAATAAAGTCTGCTTTCAACCACTCACATCGAAGCACAAGGCTCCCATAGGTTGCCAAATCCCAGCAAGATTTTCCAACCCAAAATCCGCGAGAATACCCACAAAAAAAAACACTCAGAATGATTTTTTGGCTAAAAACTTAATGTAATCAACTTGGACTATCATGATTCTGTTTATTGTCTTTCTGTTTATTTAATACCTACAAGTCTCTTGGAAAAAAATATGCGGGAACCACCGAACCTGGCAACCCTGCTGCATAGTGTGTAAACAGGAACACTGAACCAGTGCTTCAACTAAACTTTACAGGAACATTTGACTCTGACTCTCTGACACACATATATCAACATAGAACCATCAACATCTCGCCTCTAATTGCATTAAAAGTGACATCCGTGTCTTAATTCGATCGTATTTACTCTTTTAAAAAGATTTGCGGACTTTACGTCCGCCATCTTGGATTCCTCTCGCTGCTGCATGAGAGAAGCTTGAGAAGGCAGTGCAAACCCCAGGTAACACCGGCCATCCTGATTGGTCGATTAAAAAATAATCTGGGGAATGCGTTCGCTATGGCGTCGATACCAGACCCATGTGGTTCAGCCAAACGCCTCTGGTGGAGCATGGCGGAACTACAAGGGTCTGGCATAGCCAGGTTATGACAAATAAGCCCTGAAAACACCTTTTTTTTAAATTCTAAACTGCATTAAGGAAATTTAGCAGAAATTAATATTAGTGTAAGAGGTACACATAAGTATCATTTATGGATGGCCCTCAGCAGAGGACCCTGTACTCCCGGAGAATCCCCCAAAGGACACCCCGGGGAACACGGTCGAACGCCTTCTCCAAGTCCACAAAGCACATGTGGACAGGTTGGGGTGAACTCCCATAAACCCTCGAGTATCCGATGGAGAGTGTAGAGCTGGTCCAGTGTTCCACGGCCGGGACGAAAACCACACTGCTCCTCCTGAATCCGAGATTCAACCATCGGTCGTAGTCTCCTCTCCAGTACCTTGGAGTAGACCTTACCAGGGAGGCTGAGGAGTGTGATCCCACGATAATTGGAACACACCCTCCGGTCCCCCTTCTTGTAGAGAGGGACCACCACCCTGGTCTGCCACCCCGATTGCCTTGCGATATTGCAGAGACGTGTCAGCCAAGACACTCCTACAACATCCAGAGACTTTAGATTGTCAGGACGGATCTCATCCACTCCCGGAGCCTTGCCACTAAGGAGGCTGCCAACCACCTTGGTGACCTCAGCCAGGGAGATGGAAGAATCCGCCCCGACATCCTCAGCCTCTGCCCCCAATTCAATACAATTTATTCTTGTATAGCCCTAAATCACAACAGAAGTAATCTCAGAGGACTTAATAAAAATAGAACACATGTTGAAAAATGTCCATACTTGTTCTAGAATGTTAAAGTCATCACGTCCTGGATCATCACCACAGTCCTTCTAGTTGGACACTAACTGCCCAACAGACCCTCCTGCATTGGCAAGGAAAAACTCATAAGAAAACCCCCCTCCGGTCCAGAGGACGTGACGAGGCACCTCTTTACTTTCCGAACTCCTCCCAGTCCCGGGTTTTTGCCTCTGCAACAGCCCGGGCCGCAGCACACTTGGCCAGCCGGTACTGGACAGCTGCCTCAGGAGTCCCACGGACCATCATGGCTTGATAGGACTCCTTCTTCATCCTGACGCATCCCTTACTGCCGGTGTCCACCACCGGGTTCGGGGTCTGCTGCCGGGACCAGCACCAGAGACCTTGAGAACACAGCTGCGAGCTGCAGCATCGGTGATAGATGCGGAGAACATAGTCCACTCAGACTCAATGTCCCCCTCCTCCGCCGGGACCTGGGAGAAGCTCTCCCAGTGAGTTGTGTGAGTTAAAAGTCCGTCTGACAGGGGGCTCAGCGAGACGTTCCCAGCAGACCCTCACTACACGCTTGGGTCTGCCAGCTCTGACCGGCTTCCTCCTCTGCCAGCGGATCCAACTCACGACCAGGTGGTGATCGGTTGACAGCTCCGCCCCTCTCTTCACCAGAGTGTCCGAGACACGCGGTCGAAGGTCAGATGATACGAAAACAAAGTCGACCATCGACCTCCGGCCTAGGGTGTTCTGGTGCCACATGCACTGGTGGACACCCTTGTGCTGGAACATGGTGTTTGTGATGGACAAACTGTAACTAGCACAGAAGTCCAACAACTGAACACCGCTCGGGTTCAGATCAGGGGGGCCGTTCTTCCCAAGTGTCACTGGCATTTCCCACATGGTCGTTGAAGTCTACACCGTCCAGTACACCTCCCAAGGACTCCAAGAAGGCCGGGTACTCTGCACTGCTGTTGGCCCGTAGGCCGTCACAACAGTGAGAGACTTGTCCCCCACCCGGAACATGTGGGTCGGAACATTTATAGACTGAGTCAAGCTAAAAGAGTCGAGAATGTTCCGAAATTCCTTGACTAGAGGTTTTGATTCGCAACAAACATGAACATTAAAATCACCAGCGAGTATAAAATAGTCCCATTTCAGAGCGATGTCCGCCACAAGGCTCGAAAATTCCTTTATAAAATCCTTGTTGGACTTAGGCGGGCGATATATTAGTGCGCACCAGTGCATCAGTGCATTCAGTCTTAGCTCAAAGAGCTGCAATTCAAAACTTTCAAATTGCGCACAGGGGAGCTTCCGACAGTTCAGATTGTTTTTAAAAACAGTAGCTAATCCTCCGCCTTTCCCTGTTGTGCGAGGGGAGCTAAAGAAGGAGCATGCTGGAGGGAGAAGTTCTGAGAAAGCGATACACTCACCAGGTCAAAGCCAGGTTTCAGTCAGAAGCATACAGTCCAAATCCCGGTTTGTGAAGAAGTCATTCAATACAAAAGTCTTGTTCGCCAGGGATCTAACATTGAACAGGGCCAGCTGAAGAGTTGGATTATCCTCACAAGGCTGGGCCCGAGCTAACGAGCGCAGGTTAGCTGGGACAGCGCGGTGCTCTGTGGGTCTGGGAAGCCGGTGGATATAGTACTCCTCTGTTACGTATCCATCCACGGTATTGTCGGGATGAACCGGGAGAATCCACCGCCACAAACGGTCCGGAAAAGGGCAGACATCCTGGTGGACATCGCCGAACTGTACTGGAGGAGCACGCCCGCGCTGGGAGCGAAGGTAGGCTCTTACTCTTACGGCAGTGCCACCTCTCTTTCCCCGTTTCCTGTGGCGCTTCCTCGGGAGAGCACAGGAGCGGTGCAGGTACGGGGGCAGAGCAAGGAGAGAGGGGGGGGAAGGCCACCCGAGGATCGGTTTCCATAATTTTGCTTTAGAAACAACTCGTGTTGGTCACGGATAGAAAATAACGACTGGCGATCATAAACAAGCAGTGCTGAAACACTTTGATAACTTAAATTGGCGATCTGTGCAAACAGTAACCAAATCAGAACAGAGAGATGCTGCGCCGTGCACACTGCTGGCGCCATCTTCTCCTCTGTCTCGGCCCTGGTCTGTGCGGCTGAAGAGCCATATGTTGTGTGCGTGGACTGGGTCGTTGAGGTCACCGCCTTCGACTGCTGCCCAGTCCTCTCAGCACCTCTCCACCATGGATCCCTCTGTGGGTGGTGGGTCCAAAGGAGGGCCTGCCCATGTCATCCCTTTGGGCTGAGCCCGGCCGGGCCCCGTGGGCTAAGGCCCACCAGACTCTCGCATACAAGCCCCAACCCCAGGCCTGGCTCCAGGGTGGGGCCCCGGCTGCGCCATGCCGGGCGACGTCACGGTTCTCAATAACATGCTATACATGGTGGGTTTTGGACTCATCAGCTGAGACCTGTTTGCCATGGGAGACCCTACCATGAAGCCCCAGACAACATAGCTCCCAGGATCATCAGAGTACTCAAACTCCCTTACCACGTTATGGTGGTAGTCCAGGGGGGCATAATATTCTGTAAAATAATCCATCCATTTTCTTCCCCTTAATCTATTCCTGGGTTGGAAGGTGGCCAGAGATGCCACTCATTACACAGAGCACAGCTCTATGGCATAGCCTTAGTCTTTCAGAGGGGCCTTCAGGCAAAGTGGGATAAAGTGTCTTGCCCAAGGATACAACAACAGCAGACATCAGTGGGAGTTGGTGGAGTAGGTCTTGTGGTGGGCTTGAACCCATGACCTCTAGCCTTAAAGGCTAATAATGCTCTACCAACTGAGCCAACTGAAACTAATGACTTCTGCTGGAAGGTTTACAGGTATACTTTATAATTAAAAGCTTATATTATTTTGTTATTTAAGTGTTTTTCATAAATGTGTTAAAAATATCTGTGTTAATTCCTGGTATAACATATCAATTTCTCATTACCGAAACAGTGAATCTCTCTACCGCAACATGCCTTTAACTGTTGCGGTGTATGATAATGCTGTTGCGGAGTATGAGTGACCTTGAAATTTTCCGCTGTCTGCGAAGGCACCACAAGGCTTAGCTAAACTTTAGCTAGCTGTTTATTTTTGGACCATAATGAAGTATATAATAAACAAGAATTTTTAAATTAAAAAAAAATATCAATGTTAAAAACGTTGCGTATCGGTAATGAGAAATGAAAAGTCGTGTAGCTGCTATAATGAACAAACTTTTAACTTTTATCTGGAGAGAAATGAAATTAGGTGCTTATCTGGTAGCTATTTTGAGTGTCACTGGAAATGATGTTCCTCCCTTCAGAATTCTTTGATTTTGTAAGTTCCTTGTGGACTTAAACGATTATTGAAAATTGTTGCGGAGGATGAGAAAAATGGTTGTGGACAAAGTTATTTTCCTTAAAACTTTAACTTATTTTATACAAGAATACCCAATATCACATGTTTATTTATTGTAACTGTTTATAGTATAACATGCACTGATAATTTATACATTTCATTTTTTCTTTTTTTTTAAATTGTATTTCAAAGTTCTCAAATTCACTAATGGACGCGTTGCGGTAATGAGAAATTTACTATTAAATATGGAAAAAACAATACAAATATTTTTATAATGTTCACTTTAAATCATGTGCAACATAGCCTGTGATGACATGTTTATAAATGTATCATTATAATTTCCATTGCATTTACTTTGTTCATCTTATTCTTCATGCCACCTTGTAAGTCTGATTTCGCGAGAATCACCCATCTACTGTTTCATTGCCAGCTATGCCTATATGAGCAGGGATCCAACAAAAACACACCACCAAGCCAGACCTCTGTGCCCTTAGCAATGCAAGGCGAACTTCTAGTAATAAGTCATCTCGGCAGGTTTCCTTAGCATGGAGACTTTCCAATGCAGCCGCTGAATCTGAGCAAATAACCACTCTCTCAGGCCGGACCTCCTCTACCCACTGTAGAGCTAGAATGATGGCCGTTATCTCAGCTGTGAACACTGACATGTTATTAGGAATCCTTTTACCAATCGACACATCAAACTCCGGAATATACACACCAGCCCCAACACGCCCTGTATTTGGATCTTTTGATCCATCTGTGTATATCTCCAAATAACTGTAATAACTCTTCCTTACATACTCTTCAGCAAGTGCCGCACCATTCGTCTCATTCCAACATCTCCTCCTCTCAATCAAATTAACATTCACATTAGGCAGGGGTAAGATCCAAGGGGGGACATCACCCCACACCAGCGCAGGGCCAACCTCCAACTCATTTACCCCAAACTGCCGAGCTGTGTTGTCAATAGTCCACCCAAAGCCTTTACATTTCTGTGGCCGTAAATACTCCCAACAATTCTTCAACACACTGTTTGCAGGCTGCTCTGTCCCCGACCCTTTCAACTTTACCCAAAATACAAGTGATAATTTGATTCTTCTCAGACTCAATGGCATCTCACCTGCTTCCACCAGCAACGCATTTATAGGTGTTGTCCTCATTGCACCAATGCTGATCCGAAGAGCTCTATACTGGATCCTGTCTATTTTTGCCAGCACACTACCCGCCGCCGCTCCATATACGATGCACCCATAATCAAGACTTGCCCTAATCAGTGCTCTGTATATACCCAGCAGTGACTGTTTATCCGCTCCCCAGTCATAGCTTGAGACCGCCCTCATGAGGTTCAGCATTTAAGGTTACATTTTGTCTCAACCTTATCTACATGAGTTCTCCAGAGGCACTTTTCATCAAACCATAGGCCCAAATACTTGAACTCTTTAACTCTTTCGATCTTTTGTCCATACATTTTCAGCTCAATATCACCCAAATTCCGCTTTTTTGTGACAATCATAAAACAAGTCTTACTGACAGACATTTTGAAGCCCCAATCATACGACCATTCTTCAACTTTGCTAATAGCCTCCTGGATTACCCTAGCAGCATATTTGACATTTCGGGCCCTCTTCCATATGGCACCATCATCTGCATACAACAGCGACCCAATCCCGTTTCCAACATTCTCAAATATGTCATTTATCATCACATTGAACAATATTGGGCTAATACAGCTACCTTGCGGAATTCCATTTGAAACACCATATTCCTCAGACACAGCATTTCCCACCTTCACTTCAAAGGTGCGATCTGACAGAAAATCAAGGATCCAGTTATACATCCTACCTCCAACCCCTATATTCTCCAGCTTGATGAGCAAGCCTTCTCTCCACATAGAATCATATGCCTTTTCGACATCAAAATAGACAATTACCATTCCTTCTTTATATTGAACAGCTTTTTCAGCTTCATTGGCAACTTTGACGAGAGCGTCCGTTGTAGCCCGACCTCTCCTAAAACCACATTGGCCGGAAGTAAAACTACCTTTGTGCTCCAAATAGTACGACAATCTGTTTACAATCATCTTTTCCATCCATTTAGCTAAATGTGATGTCAGGGCTATAGGCCGGTAATTCCCTGCATCTGTCGAGTCCTTGCCTGGTTTACTGAATGGCAGAATAATTGACCTTTTCCAGCTTACTGGCATCTTTCCTTCACTCCAAATGTTGTTAAATAGCCCAAGAACACAATTTAGAGCCTCATTTGGGAGGTGTCTAAACATAACATAGCACAGCTGATCCTGGCCCGGGGCAGAGAAACCACTCCCATTCAGAGCTCTTTTAAGTTCATCTAGAGTGAAGTCCATATCCAGGGGTGTAGCTTCCCTTGGCTTTTTCCTCGTGATATCTGGGTTTCTTCTAATCATTTCCTCCTTACGTATTCTGTGTTTCTGCTCCAAATGACTACCACTATGTATACCAGCAAACTTCTTGCCAAGTAAGTCGGCCTTCTCCTTATTTGTAACAGCCCTATAATCTTCTTCCACCAGTACAGGTATTTTGTTACATTGTTTCTTCCCAGTCATCTTCCTAACCATTCCCCATACCTCTTTTAGCTTGATTTCACTTCCAATAGCTGAGCAGAACTGCCTCCAGGCACTCCTTTTAGCGGCTTTAATCACCCTTCTTGCTAGGGCCACTTTTCTTTGATAATCCAGGATACTATCCTGATTACAACATGTCCTCAAGTACCTACGAGCATGATTTCTTTCTTTAATAGCTGCCGTACATTCGTCGTTCCACCAAGGAACCGCTTGTTTCTTAAAAACACCCGACCTTCTGGGTATGCACTGAAGTGCCGCATTTAAAACCACATTAGTAACAGTCTCATTGCCACTTTCTACATCCCTTTCCAAGACCATCTTCTCACAGGTCTCCAAGCATCTTGTTTGGAACATGCCCCAGTCTGCTTTGGCAAAACACCATTTATCCACTACCATATCTTCCTGGACACACACATCAAAATTAATCGAACAGGAAATAGGGAAGTGATCGCTTCCCATGCTATCACTCCAGACAGCCCACTCACAGAGGTTGCTTAGCGCTCCAGATACAAGTGTCAGATCTAAACAAGACTCCCGATTCCTTGCTACATCTATCCTTGTCGCTTTGCCATCGTTTAAGCATATCAAAGCCCTTTCCTCCATCATCCCTTCCACTACGTCTCCATTTGAGTCAGTATGGTCACTTCCCCAAAGGGAATTGTGAGCATTGAAGTCCCCGCACCAGACTTCTCGTCTTTCTACGGTAGCAGAAATATCATTAAAAGTCTGTTGTGACAGTTTCTTGCATGGGTTGTAGAAGTTTACAACTTTAATGTCTCCCCTGGGACCACATATCTTAATTACTATACCTTCAAGGTCATTAGATACAGTACACTCCTTCCTAAATGCCACTGTGTCTTTAACAAACGTTAGACACCCACCACCCTGGGCATCTTCCCTGTCACACCTGACAGCTGTAAACCCCGGCAGGACAAAGTCCAAATGTGGTCTAAGCCATGTTTCTTGAACGCAAATAACTTCAGGGCTCTTACCCATTTCCGTGACAGCCTTTTTAAATTCCTGGCCATTAGCAATTAGACTCCTGGCGTTCCATTGTAAGATTTGGAACACCATGACTATTTCAATCAGCATTTTCCACATCTCCATCTTTTGTCTGGACAAGATCATGAATCTTATCTACATCCACTTCTTTAATGGCCAGGAATTCAATTGCTGCCTCCACCACACAATTAATTCTTTCGCTTCTGCTTTCCATCCGGATCGCCACATCCACTACTTGGCAAATGAAAGCTACAACACGGACCTTGTCCAGTACCATCGAGTCTGTGCTAGTCCTCCTGGGACCTTGGTCTATTACACCTCGGACTCTCTGTGGGAGCGGTGCTGGCGCTTGGGGCCTGGGTGTGGGCCAGAGGTCCCGACCTACCGCTGGGGCTGTTTCAGTTTGTTTGATTTCCTTCACTGCATCAGCATATGATACTTGATTCACTACTTTATATTTCATTATCTCACGGGCTTGTACTTGAGCAGGGCATCCCCCATAAGCTGCGCTGTGTCCCCCACCACAATTACAGCATCTGATTTTGGCCTCTCTCTCACATTTCCCATACTCGTGTTCCCCTCCACATCTGGCACACCTCAGTTTCCCTTTGCACTGTGTAGCTGTATGACCAAACCTTTGACATTTGAAGCACCGCAGGGGCGCTGGTATGAATTCTCTGACCTCCATAACTAATGAACCCGAGGGTGACATGTTTTGGCAGAACATTTTTGAAATCCAACACTACTGATAAACTGTCGCTTTTAGCGCCGTCTTTCCGTCTTTGAAGTCTTGCTGCTTTAACCACTTCCCCACCTCTCACTTCTGCCATCACTTCATCTACAGTCACTATTAAAGGGACGTCACGTATGACCCCTCTGAGCTTAGCAGCAGACCCAGGGATATGAACACTGACCCTCTTCCCACACAATACATCAGCCCGCAAAAAAGCGTCTCTTTGACCTTTGTCCTTTGCAAATATCAGCAGCCTCTTATTATTCAGAAATTTAGCGAACTTGATTTTGCCCATTTGGCTTTCTATCTCTTTCGCCATTTTAATCGGGTGAAAATGACCACCTTCTTCCTTAAACGTAACCATCACTTTCCAATCATTTAGCTCATCCCCTGAAGACTGGTCATCCCTGCTAGCCTTAGCTCTCTGTCGTGTTTCCTCGATCTCAGAATCAGACGTGAGACTGTCAGACATACCATTTCTCTCTTTCCTTTTCCTAGTAGTATTAGCAACAGTTTGCCACGGAGAAAGATCTCCCCCTCCATCCAAACTAACATCCGTCATTGACACACTCTCGGCACGGTTGCTGCTCACCGGCTCTGTTGAATTCCGCGCCAGACCCTCTTCCGGCTCACTAATGTTCTCTATCAACTCCTTCCACTCCGAGGCCATCTCAGACAAATGTATCCAAACAGCCACACTCCCCCTCCTCTCGGCCCCACGGGCCGCTTAAAGGTTGACACTTAGCTCTGATCTCTTAGCACGATCCACCCTCCACCGCTGCTCTCTGCCACACACCAACCACCGCTGAGAGGGTCTCCTCCACCCGAGAGGCAGGCGTAGCAGTCTATCTGAGACGCTTGCGTCATCGCCCCGCCTCTTGTTAAAGCACGCATGCGCCGCACTCAGAAAATAATGACAACAACAATGTAGCTTGTTGGTTTTGTAATCCAGTGTGACCCGAAGCAACAGTTCAACCTCATCGTCCGTCCATACTAATGTAGTACCAGCTCGCCCACTCGCCATGTTGTCTGTTTACAAAATTCCGCGCATGCCCACGGAAGTTTGGGCTTGATCCCGTCATTGCGTCACAGCGCCACCAACAGGTCTGGCATAGTTTCACAGCGTTTTCAGGCGTATTGACTACATTCATATGGACGCACACATTTACTGAGCTAACTCCGTGTTTACAGAAAAAGTTTCTGAAATTATAAGCGTTTTGTCTTCGTGTGGATATAGCCTAAGAGATCCTTTTTCGTCCAACAGCGGGATAAATTCAGGGTTGCATCACAAGTTATGGACAGGAGGAATTTGGAGCACACAGCACAAGATAAATTAATAACTCTACTCTAGAATAAAATAAAATATAACTTGCTATAACTCTAGCAAAATAAAACGCTATAAAATTTCTTTCTTTAGCATAATAAGGAAATAAGTCTAACATCTCCAGCTTTAGCAGGAAGACAGTGTGGTGTGTAGACAGTGACGCACACGTCCCAGATCTTGTCAAAAGAAGAACATGACTGGTTACTTGGTGAAAGATCTGCACAGGAGTCCAAGAACATTTTTATTCACACCTTCTATTTAGACGTGACACTGAGCCGCACTGACCATACACACCACTACAGCATGTGTGTCCACTGCAGTGTCCTTATGCTCTTGTGCTCCCTCCCGCTTCTTGTTCAGCATTTCTTATGCCACACTGCCTCTGCGTTTACACCTGCTGATACACACATGCGATCAGCTCAAGTCCCACCTTGTGTACACTCACAAGACAAACAGTAGACTGTGTGAAATCCTGGCTGTTATCACCACTCAGCAGATGTCAGCAGCATCAGTACTGACCAGGACATTACCGAGAAATTCACAGTTACCAAGAAAAACAAAGTGCAAATAAGTCGCAATGATCCACAACTCATTCTAATAATAATAATAATAATAATGCATTGGTTTTATATAGCGCTTTTTTGGACACTCAAAGACGCTTCACATGACATTATTCATTCACTCCATACACGGTGGTGATAAACTACTACTGTAGCCACAGCTGCCCTGGGGCACACTGACAGAAGCGAGGCAACCAGTATGTGCCATCGGCCCCTCCGACCACCACCAACCATTCATACACACACCTTTTCTATGGAACATTACTTATTTATTTTCTGCACTTTCCCCTCTAATTTTGTGGAATGCTCTCTCCTCATTCCTCAGGTGATTAGGCAGAACCCCACTTCCTGATGCCACATTTCAAACAGGAAGTTTACTGGCACTGAAGGACATACCCTGAGCTTGTGATTTGAGCCAACATTTAGACAATACACACATCTTTAACTATTAAACCTGCAAAAGCCTGCTGCTATTAATGACACCACACCACAGTCGTTCCTATTACAGAAAGGCCGGCTGCACGATGAGTGGTGGATATTTTAGTCTGGTGTGATTGCAAGCCGTCAGTTAGATATGCCCGGTGCCAAAACAAATTCTTCAGTGCTCACACAATTACGCGTGCAACAAAATATCATTCATTCTCATACAATCAGAAGTAAAACCATGCATTTGACAATTAAAATGTCATTTCAGATTATCCAGGGGGGAAGAACAAAGCCATGAAACTTGATCTACACATTTGCGACAAAAGACTAAATAAAGGAGTGGAAAGTTGATTGTTTTGAGCCCCAGAAAAGCCCCAGGCGTGTGGAAGAAACTGTCACAGAGAAGCCTGAAAAACAGGGCCACATTTGGAACGGAAACAGGCAGAAGGAAACAGGCCGATTCCCTTTCGTTAATATATGTAACTGCAACATTCTTCAACTGGAAATAACACATAAAGACTCTTCATACAAGCAATCGCTCTGATTAGGTGATGATGGACACTGGACAGAGGACATATTGGACTACTGGAAGTGGTGAAACAGGACAAGTGGATTTTGATTCCGCTAGCATTGTCACAAACTTGATCAAACTTGATCAAGTACAACTAAAAAGGCTCGATACTTGATACCAATTATTTTTATTTATTCTGGACAAAAAGCTGTTTTTTTTTTGTTTTTTTTTTACATGCATCCTTATTTCAGCATTATAGTGCTTTTTTAGTACCAGTGTTTTGTACTGGTTACGATATAGTCCAAAACCATTCAAAAACTGCAGAGATTATTCAGTACCAATACATTCTCAGTATCAAGTTACAATACTAGTTTTAGCATTGATTAATATCAGACAAGTGTTTATTGTAAACTGTGGCATTACTCTAAAACAGACACATAGTGGCATTTGCTGAAGTTATATTCCAAATCCCATGAATATTTTCTTTCTATGATGACATTATATTTCATGTGGAATTCAACATGCTGTTTTTTTGCAACTAGTTACAGGGATGTAGATGGGTGACAACATGATAACCCAAACCTGCAAGGACCAATGGAACAGCTTTGTTATAAGCAAGGTTTAAATCTGATACAAAATATAATATATAATTATTAATTCAAATATCAAATTGACTCAAATGGTACTGATTGGTGGATATATAAGAAACAACTACATGCCCTAACCACGACTTCTCTATGAACTCATGCTTTGAGCAATATGATTCAGACTTAACATTACACCAATCCTCTATGATTAAGATTATCTAGTGGCATGGACACGTTTAAGCAGCAGGACAAGCCATGATGTCTGCCCCATCAGCTGACAGAGGACCAACACGCTTCATTCAGTCCTATGTATACACTATTTGCAGTCTATTCCTCCACATAGTCCAATTATTTTAGTATATATTAGTCCAGCCTCACCCCTGTTTATAAAGCTATGTTTAACTTTGAATTGTGCATCTCTCCTGATGTCACTTGTCCTAGCATGAGGAGTGGACACATGCTAAAGCTAGTGTGACTGTATAATGCAAGTGTATGGGAGAGGTGTGGATGTCCGGAGAAGCATCAGCAGCAGCAGCAGCAGCAGCAGCAGCAGCAGAGGCGGCAGGTCTCACCTTCAGTCCCGGGGCCGCACTGGACTACAACCCGTCCTGGAGCTCAGCATTCCCGGGTAAAGCCATCACAACATGTCAGCGAGGTTTGGGAAGACGCCTGGTCCCGTTTGTGATCAGTGTTATCCGTGAGTATGATGCCAAATGTTTGACTGCTGCTGTTTCACGTGTAAAAAAACCACATCCGGGTGGTACTTTCACAATAAAACATGATGGGTTTAATTGAAGAGGGCGCGCGCGACCTCTGCTTTATTTTGAAAAGATAAGATACGTAGCGGCTCCAGCAGGGAAATTATTTGCAGTTTTACAACATGTCAGGGTAGGGTACCAACTTTATTAACACATGATTAGCCCAACAAAAATATAAAAGTAAAATATTGAATTAACGACCACAAACCATAACAGGCTGTCTTCATCTATTATTTTTATTATTTTTTTTGAATACTTTTTTGAGAGCTGAGTCCACCCTTTTTTCACTTTTCTCCATAAAAAAAATAGTACTAGGAACAAGTGAGATGAATTGTATGACATCTTATCTTATATAGTTAAATGTATAAGTTAAATAGTATTGTGATTTGAAAGATAGGTACCTGATCTTTAATTCCAATCTCATAATTTTGAGTGAATGTGTGTGATCATTCAAACATTTTATTTAATTACAGTGTTTTATTGAAGAATATTTAAATAATTATTTAAATAAAAACAAAAAAATACACAAAAGAGCACTTTATAATGGATCAGAGAGCCCACTGAACTGTGAAAATCTCTGACATGGGCAGGGCCAACTTGTTCACTACTAATGCCTACAGAGAGAGAGAGAGGGAGAGAGAATGAAGGAAAATTAAATAGATGAAAACATATTATAATAATAAGAAGCAAAATATTATGAATCAGGAACTTATCGTTGGGAATAAAAACGCCCTTACTTTTGTGTCAATGTGGTACGTAAAATTGACCTTCTCTCCGTTGGCGAGAACGTAACGAGGTGGTGCCCAAACACCAAAAACTCTCACACCTCCCAAGACCAATCCATCCAAATCTTTGTTTAGTCTCACAGGATCACTCACAATCCGTGCCTATATGGTTTAGGTGTAAACACAGATTATCTATCTTAAGCAACACATTGTCACATGATCATACCTGCCCTGCCGTGAAGATGACATAACTATAACTATTCTTCTCAAATGTGTCCAGACTTTCCCCGTCGTCCCAGAACAGGTCGCCCCATGCCCGCCCACCCGCAGACAAAGCCACGGTCAGGAAGAAGGGATTGGTGCGAGAGGCTGCGGTTGTAAGAGAGGGCTCCTTGTGTAAAATGCAAGTATACATTAGTAAGTGAAATTATTTATTTATATTAGAAAATGGAATATCGTATTTTTTGGACTATAAGTCGCTCCAGAGTATATGTCGCACCAGCCGAAAATGCATAATAAAGAATGAAAAAAACATAAATTCTAACCATAAAGTCGCACTAGAGCATTTTTAGGGGGAAATTTGATCAAATCCAACACCAAGAATAGACAATTTATCTTGAGTCAGTTTCACTGTTTAGGTAATACAAAGAAAGAAGTCCTAAATTGTGCAATGGTAATCACTATCAGAATATGACTTAATTCTTTGGGATCTTCTTAATGGCTTAATTGCTCATCTTAATAGTCCGGGCTATTATTTGATATATAAAATGTAATGATTTCACACATAAATTGCTCCAGAGTATAAATCGCACCCCCGGCCAAACTATGACAAAAACTGCGACTCATAATCCGAAAAAATAGGGTATGTGGTTCCTACCTGCTGAGGTATTATGTGTCCCTCTCTTACATGAACATTGACGGTGTCCAATGAGGATGAAAGGAGCACATACTCACTCTTACTGTAGAAAGGTTGGCCCTAAAGCAAAGAATGGGAAAAAAATGTTTGCGAAAGAAAAACGTGTGATTACTGATGGGGAAGAGCATAACAGACTCTCTTTTCATATTGGGGTTATTTTTTTTTGACCTCACAAAAGAGTGGGGGGGGAGATTTGATTCTTCAAACTATTTAGAAGGTCAGTCTTCAGTCATTAGACATCACGCACCCAGTCAAACAGCAAACTATGGAGGAGAGGTGTCAAAACTCAAAACTAAAAATTATATTCAGGAGGCAATCTAAACATGAAGCTAGCAGTTTTAAATGTAAGTGAATAGAAGCCAGAACAGATTGGAGCGGAACTTTGCCTATGAGCACTTCCCTACTGGGCTTCATTGAGTCTTAAATAGTAGTGCTCATTTCTCAGTGTTTTGAACTATGATATCACTAGTGTTAGGGAAAGTAAAGGGCCATTCAAACCAAGTGATTTCCAACTGAGCCAACCCACAAGACCTACTTCATTTTCTCCCATTGAAGTCGGCTGTCGTTGTGTCCCTGGGCAAGACACTTAACCCCACTTTGCCTGAACCCCCTGCTGAAAGACCAAGGCTGTGTCATTGATGACAGATGCCCATCTTTCCATGGACTAACCACCTGCAGGAGGATCAACAAGGGGCTGGTGCTGAGAGCAATGGGTGGCAGCTCTGATTGCCACCCCCTGACCCAGAAATGGATTAATAAAGGGGATGTTAATGAATGAATCAATAAATGAATGAGCAGACTGTCTGAGAAGATAACTCCGGACATTGGCTCTAATATAATATATAAATCAATTAAGGGATTAGCATTACTCTTTTTTTATGTAACAGACCAGTCAAATAAGGATGTAGCAGTTGCCAGGACACTGGTAAAATAAGGGGGAATCAAAAATAAAGTGCATTATACGATCATAATGATAATAATACATCAAACTTGTATAGCGCTTTTTTTGGACACTCAAAGACGCTTTACATGGGGAATTAAATAAAAAAGGGGGTTTACAGAGAAGCTTGTTTGAACAGATGGGTTATGAGTCTAATGGGCAGTGGGAGTGAGTTCCAGAGGGTTGGGGGCGGCAGTGGCAAAGGCTCTGTCCCCCAAGGTCCGGCAGTTAGTGCGGGTGATGGCAGTGAGGCGGCTGGAGTCGGCTGAGTGAAGGCGGCGGGTGGGTTGGTGTTGTCGAAGGAGCTCAGTAAGGGTAGGGCGGGGCCAGGTTATGGAGGGAACAGTTTTGAACACAATGCATGCTTACGTCCTGCAGGCTGTACCAAGTGCCAGATGGAAGGTAAGCAGGAATCTCTACAACTCCTTGTTCCAGCGCTGGGCTGATGAGGAGCGCACTGCCCCACAAGAACTGACGGTCAATCGCTTTGCAGTTAGGGTCGAAGGGAAATCTTTGGGAAAGCATAATTGATTAGATTAGAACAATAGGAACGTACATATTTGTGAAATGACAAGTGATACCTACTCGACAAAGAGGGCTCTGGCCACGGTCTGTGCGGATGTGTGTGCGTGATGAAAAAGTGTGTAAAGGAAAGGAAGCAGAGAGTAGCGCAGGTTAAGAGCACTACGCATGGCCGCCTGGGCTTTCTTTCCAAATACATAAGGCTCCTGGGGCTAGAGACAGATGTGCACAAAGAAAATGGCTCTGGTTACTGCCCTTCATAAAACATGAATAGGCTGTTTTTTAGGCCAACTGTTTGAGACAAGAATAAACTTGGAGGTAACGTACAAAGACATAATATCAGATTCCCCCACTGTAGGTATAATAAAGGTATTATTTTTGTACTGTGAATTCATTCATTTGCATGCGTTTTATTACTCAAAAGATACAAAAAAACATCTCCACAGATCTGATTAGTAACTTTGCCTTATGTGTTTTCCATTCGATTTAAATGAGTCAATGTCTTAAGGAAATCTGAGAAAAATGTATTACTATAAATACAATGATTCATTTGATGGAGGTTGGTTTTCAATAAACGTTAAAGTCTCCAATTCAAACAAAAATATAATATTGATAAAACATTATTAATCATTATACACATTCTTGTAAGAAGAAATAAAAACTTAATATTCAGTGCGTATTGAATCTGTATAAAAATCTTTCACATTTGACATTCAACTGTTTTTGTTTTTTTTAATAGTCTTTACTATTATGATGATGATTATTATTCTTTACTAAATAATGGTTGGAATAAGGTGACTGAAGTGAAAATTAACAACAAAAGTTAATTATTATTCAAGTCAGTGGGGGCTGGTGATATGTGATATAATAAACGCTGATACATTCTAAAACTGTGATACATACTATATTTGGCCTGTCATTGTGGTTCCTCATGAATGGATAAAAGGCCCCGAGTTGCATCCAGCGCACACACAACTCCTCAGTAGTGTTGCCCTCAAAGCCACACACGTCTGCCCCCACAAGAGGCACTCCGTACAGGCCGAACAGCAGCACAGCTACACAGGAGAACATCAGAAATCACTTCATTTTTCCATCATTTCCTCACATTTTTGAAGTACTTAGTAAATTCTCACTTCCTCACTTGGGATTGAGAATCTCAGCTGTTCCCAGTTACTTGTGACATCACCAGTCCACACTCCCGAAAATCGTCCAATCCCGGGGTAGGAGGAGCGAGACAAGACAAAGGGCCGTTTTGACTGGACATTTATGAGTGCCCTATAATGTAACACAATTAGTTACAAGTTATTGGAAAAGTATTTTTTAACATGATTTATTTATTTGTTAGGACATTTTAACACATTTATTCTATTTAAAAATGAGTGATCATACAAATAAAAATGCTTGTAGGGCTGCATCGTTTTGGTAAAATATTAATTTTAAGTTTAAACTATAGTCGAGCCAGATTTGTATAAGCAGTCTTTAATTGAGAATATTATAGTGCCATAAAGTAGATTTACCAATGGAAGTTGGAACAAGTAATAATAACTATTAACTTGTTTTTTCAAGAAACTTAATGTAAAAGAGATTTTCCAATTGAATTCACTAAAATTGCAACTTTTTTCCAAATATGATTAATCATGCAGCAGATTCCGTATATTTTCCCAATGCAGGTAGAATACAGGTAATAGAAGAAGACTTATTCAAAGTGACAGTTGCGTACCTGTGAGTGGCATATGCTTCTGTGAGTCCGTACATATTATGCAGGTTGTAGTGCGTCGACAGGAATTGTTGCGCCGACATGCAAAGCGTTTTTGAATTTAACTGGCCGCCGACAACCGCTGCAGGATGTGAAATGAATCAGGAACAGAAAAAAGCTCTTTAGTATGTAGACCATCGAGAAGATTGGCATGAACAACTCACGCGGAGTGTAGGGTGGTTGGTCCAGATCTGAGTCCGGGCAGCCGTCCACAGAGCCCTGCACAAAACTGGAGGGTTCATTCATGTCCTGAGGGAGCAGAGAGGCGTTCAATAATCATTTACCAAATGTTTTATGCGAAAGAAAAATATATTAATGTTATGACTGATACAAAAAATGGCTTTGCTCACAATCCAGAGGCCATCCACAGAAACCTGAGACAGAAAATCTTTAATGCAGTCCTCCCACCATTTTATAGTCTCTGGATTAGTGAAATCTGGAAAAGCAGTCGGTCCAGGCCACACCTAATATTCCCAAAAGATAATATGATGACACACAATAATATAATTCAACTTTAAAAGTGAGCAAATCAACCTTTCCAATAATGGCATTTCCAGTGGAATTTTTAATAAATACATCTCTTTTTAACCCATCATCATATGGAGCATATGACCCAGGAGGGCTGGTTGTACTGATGCCTGGATCCTGTTCAAAATATAAACAAAAGTCCCATTAATTGGTGAGTAATGCTGCCATCTTGTGGTGTAATTGCATTAAATAATTGCACATGAAGCATCACCAAAATAAGGACGTATTTCAAATTCTGTTCATGAAATTCTTGCACCATCTGTGGCAGGTCACCAAACCTCACAGGATCAAAGGTGAAGACCCTGCGACCGTGTGCATAGTCCAAGTCATTCCACTGCACATCCTGCAAAAACAAAATATACAGGTTGTTCAATTAAAGGAAGAACATTATTAACATATGTCTATACTTGTCATAAACAAAATCACAAAATAATTATTTATTTACCAAAGGAAAATTGGCATCACGCATGCGCTGTGCCACTTTCCGGGTTGCATTACTCGTTTTGTATCCCCAACGGCAAAGGTGAAAGCCCAGAGCCCAGTAGGGAGGCATCATGGGGTAACCTTGAATCATTTACATCCACATGAATTAGAAAAGAACAATAACAATGGTTTGAGTTGTGAATCTTTACAAAATAACAAACCAATAACTTGAAGATACTGGCGAATTATACTTTCTGGATTAGGTCCCAGGAAAACGTATAGGTCAAGTATTCCACCGAGAGCAACCCAAGTCAGAGCAGGAGTGGGCTGCAGGATCACTTCTACAACATAACATGCCTCTGTTCATTTTATATGTTAAAAAAATATGTATTTGTTCCCCTGTTTAGGCTTACATACTGTACATCTTAAAATCTAGTTTTTGTATTACCCATAGCATTGCTGTTTAACATGAAAACCCCATAAGCAAATCCATCTGCTTCCTGGACTATATAAAAGGGATGAGAGCCGTAGAGGTTTGCCCCAGCCTGGAAACACAAGATGATTTAGCTGTGGAATGGGTGAAAGATAAGATAAGATAGAATGTATTAATCTCACAATGGAGAAATTTACATGTCACATTTGGCATAAACAGAATCACTCAGGTTGTGCAAAAAGACAAGTGTGCAGACATGTTAAAAGGTTCAAAATAGTCTTTTTTGTGCACGATATATCATGTGCAATGAAATTTAAAGAGACGGATTTGTTTTGCCTCTACCTACACGGGGTTTAGTGTCTTGATTCCACAGCGTTAAAGATGTCCAGTTCAAGTCCAGACGTAAAGAAGTGTAATGTTCTCCCAGGCCAGACACAGATGAGGACGCCAGTGTTGTTGACAGCTGAAGGTACTGATCCGTGAATAGAAAAGGAGCCACACTTGTGTTCATGCTTGAGTAAAACAAAGAAAAACAACACAATCGAACAGCTGGAAATTCAACGTGACACTACATTGATGTTGTATGAGATAAGTGGGGTAATACCTAGATCCATGGGTAATACTCACATCACCTTATAATTAGATTTACGTCGCACTGTAAAACTAAATGGGTTGTGTTGAAACTCGATGGAGTACTGGGTATTCTGTGCAGCTGCTTTGCCCCAAGGAGAGTGCTGTTGGTCTGGAAGCTGGACCTCATACCTTTGAGATGAAGGGTCTTTCACCTAAAAACAAATACACTTCACCTTGTAGAATGATGAGCTATTATTCATCATTTAATATTACAGAAATCTAACTCACTGTGAGGTGTAAGCATTCTGCACTCTCCTCTATAACCTCCAAATGCAGAATGGATATGTCTCTAGGAAGATATGATGGTTTGGCCCGGGTCAGAACGGCTGCCTGTCCCCTTTTACTCGGATTGAGAGGACCCATGTTGTAACCAGGATATGAAACTGGAAAATAGCACCACGGTGGTCCTTCTGGTTCTGACAGAGGAGCAAAGCAGCAGCCCCGGTCTTCACACTCGCTTTGACTCACCACTTTATCTCTGGCACAGTCAAATCTACGCTCCAGCACCATGGAGCATTTAGCAGATGTGTTATTAGATTTTGGTTTCATTTTTACATCTGTATTGAACGATCTCATTGAATGGTTCTTGATTTGACGTACATGTTGAAAACTCTCGCTGTCAGACGCACAGATTACAAACATTTGGACATAAGCAACAAAAAGAAAACAGGGATGGATCGAGCCCGTTGTAAGCAGATGTAACCCCATGTCTTATCTGTGTTAACGCTTCATATACAGTATACACAAACACAAAATAACCTTCATGACATTTGTTTTTAGTCTATCACTAGTCTATAACGCTAGTGTCATTTCTATTTTCTTTAATCCATGTTAGCTTGCCTTGCGTGAAGACATTTAGCAATATGCACGAGACACATGGGACTAGCATCACAAGCTAAAAGTTCATGTAAGGTAAGCGCGATGGACAAAATACCTCATACACCTCAGGTCGCCAAACATCGTTGGAATAAAAAAAAAAGTAAAACCAACATTCTTTAAAGTTTGCTGCCAAAATAAATTAAGATATAATATTTGGTTTTACGGTCCAACTGTAATTAGATATTGAATAAAATAATTTAAATAATTAATAATAATAATGCATCGGTTTTATATAGCGCTTTTTTGGACACTCAAAGACGCTTTACATGTCATTATTCTTTCACTCCAAACATGGTGGTGATAAACTACTGCTGTAGCAACAGCTGCCCTGGGGCACACTGAGAGAAGCGAGGCAACGAGTATGTGCCATCGGCCCCTCCGACCACCACCAACCATTCACACACACACACACCAGACTCATTCTCAAATAATATAGGGCCCAATGGCGGGATAAACATAGATATGAACACACAAATATTAAATAGAAAAGTAATAAATGTTTAATGTGCAAATCATCAATTTATGCCATGTATTACAAAGTTGCAACAGAATTCTGGCCTCTGATAAAACCACATTATTATTATTGATTTCAACTTGATGTATGGAAAAGCTACATGATCTTTGGAGCAGTTAATTTCTGAGCTTGATTAACAAATTACAAGCAGCTAGCAGCACAAGTTGGAATCAAGCACATTTAGAGTTAATAAAAAAGCTGCCTAAAGCAGTGGTAAAAAAGGGACACAGGCCACATAAAATTACCAACGATCCATTCACGAATCAGTCTGTACAAAACTATACAACTGTGCATGAAACACAGACAAATACTGTACAAGATTGCACATTACAACTACGCACAAATCTCAACGTCATACACATTTCATCAAAATGCAATTTAGCTATAAATACCTGTCAAGTGAATATGACATATACACTCAACAGCCCTCTTCAATACAACCCGACAAGAAGACAACTATGGCAATAATTGTGGACGGTTTGCCAGGAAACTTGGTGAGTTGAAGGCACTTTGTGAAAGGTAAGCTGCTTCATCAGTGCGTTCCAGGCACTGCAGGCCTGGTCCTCATCAGCAAAGCAACATTCCCTTTTTGATTCCACAGTTAAGGCAACGTTTGTGATTGTGCTGGGTCCTCCAAATGTGGTCCCAATGAGACCGGCGTACGATCCAGTAAAGAAGGTTGGGCCAGTGTCAGACTGGACTGTTCCTCCTCTAACAAAGCTGAGGGACTTTGTTTGTACAACAAGTGGACCGGATTAATCAGACACAGTGTATGAGCAGGCATTTCACAGGACTGTGGTTGTGTTGGTGTGGGTTGTGATGGTGGTTGTGTTGGTGTGGGTGGGAGTTGTGATGATGGCGGTGGGGGTTGTGATGGTGGGGATTGTAGTTGAGATGGTTGTGATGATGGTGATGGTGGTTGTGATGGTGGTTGTGATGGTGGTTGTGATGGCTCTTCTACTGTTGACGTTTCTGCTGGTGTTTGCTGTTGACATTGGTCAGTTTTTTTCTGAACATCTTTAGAAGAGCGTGGAAATGATGGTAGTGGAATCTGCATTTTTGCAGAGTAATAAGGCAGAAAAGGCCTTTCTGTAACACAGGTCCGCATGGCAAGGTATGTGTGCATGAGTAAATGAGGAAAACGAGATGTGAAGTATGACACAAAGTCATCGGGGATGGATCCAAGCGTCTCTTGGACATCAGCGGGCAGTTCTCTGTAGTGATGTTTCTGTTAAGAGAGGATCACTTCTTAAAAAATGGACGCATCAATCAGAAAAGAAAAGTAATTAAAATTACTCATACCTTATTTCTCATTGCACGCAGAAGGTCTCGAACAGAACCACCTTTATAGGATCGAAATTTTCGCAAATCTACAAAAAGAAAAAAAGATACATTTTAGACAGAATGGAGTTTTTCCGGTTTACATAAACAGTAGTCAATAGTCCACCTGTTTGCAGTGGTACAGTAATGTGCTCTCTCCAGTCGCCTTTGACAACAGCCCTCCCTCCTCTTTCTAAATGTCTAACAATTGGTCCATCCAACGGCTCCTTCTCAATTCTATCGCTCACATCCTAAAACAAAAAAACAAAAAAAACTAAGATTTCATACTAAATGATGTGATGAAATGTGTCATCTGTACATACCTGGAAGAACTGCAACTCCTTCTCTAAGGTCCAAAAAAAGGGGTGCTTGAGGATGCACTCTGCAGAGGGCCGCTTCGTGGGCTCCATACTCAACATTTGATCAATTAGATCTCTGGCTACAATGTCCTCTGGTGAACAATTAGACAATGGTCAGTAATACATTCACATTGTTATGTTCATGGTATCAATGGCTTTTGAACATTCAGAATCTCACCATGTTTGTCAATTTGGAGATGCTCCAGACTGTATTTACCAAATAGAATGTTAGCTTGTCTCTGTATAGATTTACCAAAAGGATGGCTGCCTTGGGATACGACATAATAAAAGACACAGCCAGCAGAGAATATATCCACCGCACAGGTCTATGAGGACATAAAAAAACAGCCCAGTCAGTGTCAATGGTCTCCAATTTCTCATCATGTGACTGTTAGTTGCTTACAGGGTTATCTGTGCAATCCTCACTGAGAACTTCAGGTGCGATCCATCCCTCTGTGCCAGGGACCCCAGACCTTCTGCTGAAGCTGTGTCGCCCCACGGCCAGCTTTTTACACAAGCCAAAGTCTGAGATCATGGCCTTGGCGCGCCCATGAGCGTTGGGCATTGAAACTAAAATATTGTGAGGCTTCAAATCTCTGTGGACTATAGAAAAAACATTGCAAATTACATCGTTACAAATACTGTATATGCATTGCAAGATCATAAATTGTCTTTTAGTGATTCTTTAATTACCTATGTTGAGAGAGTGAAGGTGAGCAAGTCCTGACATTGTCTGTTGAAGGAGCATGACCGGTTCAAGTCCATGACGATCAAAGCCTTTTTTCTCCACATACTAGACAAACAAGACAATTACATTAAAACTATAAAAAACAAAAATTGCCAGCTCGGTAACATTACAAAGTCATTCATTACAGTACCTCTTGGAGAGAAGCAGCACACAGTTCGATGGCGATATACTGGAACTGCCGATCTCGCTCCGTGCAGAAGTAGCGGATCACATTTGGATGCTCATCAGACTCCCTGAGCAGCTGAACCTCTCGGTCTGCAAAGCTAAAGCACTCTGGCAGGATTCTCTTCACCGCTACTGGTCTATTGTCAAACTGACCCCTTTGTGGGAGGAGAATCACTTCATTAGACGTGATTTTTAACATTACAATGATGAATTGACCAACCTGTACACAATAGTTCCTTCTGCACCGTGACCGAGGACCTCTTTAGGACGGAAGATTATGTTGCCCACTCTTACCATGCATGTTTCTTCTTGAAGGGAATACAAAAATATAGAAACCGTTTAAGAAATTACGGACAAATACGGAAAAAACCACTACTGTCATAAGATTCTACCTCCATCGTCATGTTCATTAGCAGAGCTTCCCATTTCAGACATGGAAATGTTGGAGTGGTTGGAGGCTCGGGGCGTGACGTTGGGGCTGCTGTGGTCGGAGCTCTCCAAGCGAAGATGGGCCACGTCCAGATAGTCGCTGTCTGGACTAAGGGTCAGTCCCAGGTCCGAGGCAGGGAAAGGCTGCTGCCTCTGGAGCAGCTCCAGTCTCTCCTCCATCTGCCTCTGAAACTCCTGGTGCTGAAGCTGCTGCTGCTTCTGCACACTCTACAATGAGAACATTTTCATTTTAAAAATGTCTAGCTATAGCATACGCTATTCATAAAAAATGAATTGTTGCACTTGCTTTTGGGTAGGTAATGACAAAGGCCAACCAGCCTGCCAAGAGGAAGGTGGAAAAGATAATTGTAGCCATATCTTTGAGCATGGAGTCCACTGGGGCCTCAGGCTTCACAGAACGGCCACTTGCTCCAGGTTCTTGTATTGAAGTTTCAGGTGGTGGAGATGGAGGGATACGATCATTCACTCCACTTTCATTCACCTTCTAATGAATGAGAACACAAGAATTACAAGAAGACCAACCAAGGAGAGGGGCGTCAGACAATTCAGAAACTTACCTCATCTAATTTCTTGTCAGTTTTAGGTGGGATGACATTGCCTTGATTGCGAGGGAAGTTGTCAGGAAATTTTTCTAGAATTTTGTGGTGAGCTTCGGGAGGGGTCTCATGGTGACCTAAAAACAAATGGGGGTTTTTAGAGTTAGATGATACATCTAGGGATCACAGACAAATCCTTGCATACCGATCAGAAGTAGATAGTTTCTCATTCTGTTCATACGATTTCGCTCGCGAAGTGCAGCGTTAAACTTGACGCTGGTGCTTGGTGTGATGACACATTCTTTGTCCTCCTCAGATTCCTGGCTGTCTGGTCCCTCCAGCATGGGAAAGGTGCTGCCACGAGGCTTCACACAAACACAAACACTTGTTACAATTTATGCAATACTGTGCAAGTTCTAGAGAAGTGTTTAATCATCATTTTAATCTAGTCTTAGCCTTACAGATGTGTACAAAAAATACCAAACTCAAATGATTAATGCCCAAAGTGTATGTTAAATGTCTTCAACAATGGTGTCACATACTAGACAGAGAACACCTCAGGGGTAATCTGTATATTAGCTAGCTATGTTTCGAAGGCATTCATATCGAATTGCAACAATGCAATGGCTATTTCTAAGACCTAAAAACAAAATAATTTAAGAATATACAGTGTCCTCATTTGTGACAAAAAACAAATCGTATTTAACGGATTTTTCTATATTACTTACCACCACAGTCACACCGTCATGAACCAGAGAGGGAGAGGCATAGAGACTGGTGGAATATTTGCCCACATATAATGTGGCCCTGAGACAGAAAGAACATTCAGTCACAGTGAAACACTAAATATTATTCCAAAAATATCATAAACAATATACAAGAGTCACACACAAAAAAGCAGACGAACAAATACGGAACAACTATAAGGAACACATGTGAGGGATTAAAACAAGAAACAGAAAAGAGGAACTTCTTACATAAATTTGTTCTTAGGCTTCTCCTCTTTGGGAAAGGGGTACTTCCATTGAGTGATACGTCCAACATCTCCTGACATGAAGGTGAGATAACGCAGCGTTTCTACGGCTACATTTGTGTGGGGCACTTTCCGAAGTCCCTCGCGTTGCCAGATGTACATGGCAACTACTGGTGAGTTGTAGTTCTGCACCCACTGGACATCTCCTGTATCACTGTCCACAGTGACCACAAGGCCATCGCCGTTTGACACAAAATGGGCCATTTCTGAGGAAACAACATTACAATGTGGCGCTATTTTCATAAAACCAACACATTTACAGCAATCATAACAATCTCAGTACCATTCATCGTTATTGAACCAAATGTATTGAATAGGAAAACATTTTCAACATTTGTAAATACATTTTAAATTATACTTCCGATGCAGAGTTTAAAAAATAGGTTACACATACTTTAAATTGCAAATATACAGAATAGATTTTCCTGTGTTTAGTCACTTACTGTACTTTGTGTCATCATCAGGAAGAGTTGATGCATAATCAGAGTATGTGGCATTCCAGCGCAGCTCTCTGCTTTTGGTGTCATACATGGTAATTGTATACTCTGAAAATGAACAGGAAAGTCATTTGTACTGCTGGGAATGCAAAGCGGTGCACTTTAGAAGGTTGAGTTACGATGAAATCTGGCACATATTCTTTGGCCTGACAGTAGAATATTTGACACTTCAGACTCTGGGGCCTAGGACATTGTCTACAGTCTCTTTCTCACATATAAGTGAGTGGGGGTTACTCATGGACAATGATGCAGTCACCAATGAAGCACAAAGTTATGAGTTACAAAAACAGACGTCAAAACAAGCCTGTCTAGTCTGTTTTTGTGCAGAGTGGGAACGACAATACTACTCTGTCCATCCATCATTTTTCACCGCTTTATTGTTATTATTGTCAGTCAGGTTAAAGGCAACAACAAATCGAAGAACTTAGATCTAAACAGAATCTGTATGCACCTGTCCGCCCAAAGTAGAGCAAAGACGATGATGGACAAAGCATCTCGGCAAAGGAGGAAGTGAGGGTCTGCTGCTTTTCACCAGTCAAAAGATCCACCACATACCACAGGTCCTGCTTTTTACCTGCAAAGACACAGTGCAGTTAATAGACAGGCAACCCAGGGATTACAGCATTGAAGTCTCCAAATATCATGGACATTAGCAGTTGTTGATTTGTTTTGTGAAAGTCGCAGGATTCGACACAAACAATGTGACCTGTAGTTTCATCTAAGGTACTTTTTAATCGTATCTTTAACAAAGTTTTGGTATAGCCAGCACCAGTATGATTTGCTGGAGGAGAATTAGACCAAATTAGCAAGGTCCATCAGGGATTTTAAATAGTTTTGTCCAATCAGGGACCTGTAGGGGTGAGTGGATCTAACCAGTAGTTTCCAGTAGTTCCCCCTTTTCAAATTAGAAAGTCACTTTAAGATAAGGACCACAAATGCTGCCAGTTAGATTTAAAACAAAGGATCACGAGATAAGTTTCAATGCAAATTTCAAAAATGCAAATGAGCGCTGAACTTTAAGTGAAAGCCAATTACATTAAGTGTATCTTTGTTTATATTTGGATTTCATTTATAAGCACGATACAATAGTTCATATTACATTGACACTGTTATACACACAAGTCGTTGCTACATACCCATATAAAGAATTCCATCTGAACTGCGACATGGAGAGGCTTGGACTAACTCAGGAATAGTGAAAGGCAATTTCTATACAGAAAAAGTTCAAAAAGGAAATGTTAGACTGTGTAAAGAGATGTGTGCATAATTAGTGATGAACAGTGAAACAACATGTAGGTTTTACGTTTTCTTGTGAAAAGGGAAATAAATCATTTTCATCAGAATAAACTTAGTTCCTCTTACAGTGAGACCTTTGTTGTTCTTTCCTCCGAGTGAATACAAGCTGCCGTCATTTGGGTCAGGCAAGAAGGCAGGCCTAGAAAAATAAAAAATAGTTATACACCTCAAGAATGATTAGAAGAAAAGCAAGGCCAACAGGTTTGCACTGGTCTTGTGGCTTTTCTAACTGACATTTGCGTTGTATAATGCTATGTACACAGAAATGGTACCTACTCTGCAACATGCGTGGGGACCTGAAGAACTGGATCTGTAAGGAGGAGAAGTGACAAAATATATGACACAGTTAATCAAATAAATTAAATGTCTGCAGATGCAATCATGCTGGACGTTTAATACTGTAATTCAAGCCCTGTGCTGAAACACAAGTCACAGGTCCAAGGTAAACACGCTCCACCCGTGCTGTGAACTCAGAGGGTGCGGACCAGATGGTGCTGATCCCTAATCATAGCCGAGGGGGGTCATCAATAGCCTAGAGCTAGGCGGAGGATTACTGAAAGGTATGCAACTGTCAATGTTCATTATAGGACTGGGCGACAAAACCATTTCTTGCTGCAATACCAACATTGCAATTCATGCTGTGGGTAGACACTAGAACATTTGAACTCAAGGGAAGACAATAGAATACATAGTTGTGTGCAGAATTGAGGAGTGACTTTAGCTCAGCACTCCACGTGAATCTGTTGAAACTGGAACAAAACAGCAGGTGTGCACAGAGACAGGCACGGAATTAATATGCAATATATCTTCCAGGAAAAACAGATGAAGCGGAGGAAGCAGCCTGTGTCTATTCATTTGATATGAATATTAAATGGACAAAACACTGTGCAGTTGAATTTCTTGATAATAGAAGTATTCTCTATGTGCAAACTTCACAGCCTTGAGGCCGAGCTGAGTTCTTTCAAGAAAAAAAGTTGTATTTCTGTAAAAACATTGGCGCATCGTTATCATTGTTGCTCAATAGTCACAGCTAAGATAAGAGCCAATATTTCAGTTGAACACCGTCGTTGATTTCTAGAAATGCTTTGATTGAAGCAAGGTCAGCTTTGTTTTCATTAATGCCACAGTGACCTAGACAAGTGCTAAAATCTTTCAACCATGTCCAGGACTATGTTTGTGGCAAATAAAAACCTCGCTTTGAGCACATTCCAAAAAGAGACAACAAAAGGAAAGATCAAAGAGACTTTGCATTTCAATTCTCCTCGATGTGCCGTATTGTAATAATTGTAATTTCTGGACACCATACATGCAATATTACAGGAGAGCTGCCCTTGCCTCTATCTATCCTTGTAGTGAGTTGATCATTAACCAGTTTTGATGTCGAGCAACAGAGCCATTACTCACAAATGCACCAGTCCATGTTTCAATGTGGCGGTACCTTCTTTTAGAGTCCACTTGATAGAGCCCGACTTCTTACTAACAGCATGGAGGTTTCCATCCAGGGTAGATACAAAGAGCAGACTCTCAGGAAGGGACACTGTGCTGGCACTGCAAAAGCAGTCCTAAGAGACACACAAATAACATGTTTAAAAAGGAAACCCATCACAGCCTTAATAGAAGCAACATTTTGGGTTGAGGGGGTTCACCCCATACAGTGAATGTGTTTTGATACAGAGTGTATGTGCACCAACCAAGAGAACTTATATCTATTCATTCTATTAATGAATAGATACATTTTTAGAACATTGTAGAAGATTATTGCTTTGGTCTAAAGTAATCATTGTATTTAAGCAATATTACTAATGCAAACATGCAAATTGCAATTTCAATTTGATTGGCATATAGTAGCATAAGAGAGGAAACAGAGTCTGAACACAGGCTTGTTTTAGTCTAAAGAAACAATATATAATATATACATATAATTGCTGGAACACATAAATATTGAAGTGAGTCATCCTAAACAGCACCCTGGGGGAAATACAAATGGACCCATGTCTAATTGCTTATGTGCTTATAGCAGTATTCAAGTGCTCTTAGGAGAGACTAAACCACTTATGTTGGTCGGTTCAGTCTGAATGTGTAGACCACAATTTTTCCTCTGGTTACTTTGTATCTACATTGTACAAGGCTTGAAGTGGTACTTTCATCTGGCTTTTGAAATAGTAAGTAAATGGCAACATTCAAATGAACTGAAACAATGTTTTGTTTTCAACTATGAAGAATGAAACTGGTGTATTCAAACATCAGCACCTGTTACAGTTCCCATCCATCCAAACAAAAAAACACACATACCAGTAAAAGACACATTGCATCTATGCTGTCCAACGCCTCTATAATTTGCTACATTGAAATGTTTCAACAATTGTGCAAGTCTGTTGCGTAAGAGGACAGAACTTGGGGAACCTAAAATCCGGGCCATTTCAGTGTTGTGTCTTTCTTAAGGAGGACTAGGGATGAAAAGTCTACAGAACAAAACAAAAAAATGTGTAAATATGAAAAATGAAAACAGACGAGGTGTCAGTCATAAAAGTCTATTTACACTTAAGAGTTCACTGGGCTTTGAACACCCCCCACACATTGGGTCATACTAAAGGAAGTGTGATGCTGTCTTGTTATGTTGGAACAAGTATTAATGCAACTTATTGCCATTTTTAAGAAAGTCTCACATCTGTAGTGCAAGTGCAACACAGAATTATCTTGTCTGTAACTAATACTTTATGATATGGATATATTATCTAATAATTTTCCCTGCCTGAAAGTAGTCCCATAGATGTTAATCTCTAGTAATATGCATTATAAAATGCACTGGACACTGCAGGTGATATTGGTCAATTTGTGATATGTTGCTTCATTCTGAAAGATGTCACATGTTGGCCCTGGTTTACACACACTTCAAACTCCCAGGATCCCATTGTGATAAGATAGGGCAGATCACTTTATCGCTCAAACATGCTAGCGTTGGTACATATAGGTATGTCAACACAAAGAGAGCACGTGCCAATACTGACTGGAAAAGTGTGTTTACTACATGTGGCATAGAAGAAGTTATAAATTGCCAAAGTTCATGTTAAATGTCTTCAACAATGGTGTCACATAATAGACAGAGAACACCTCAGGGGATAATAAGAGATTAAAAATCTGATTCAATCTGTATATTATCTTGCTATGTTTGGAAGGCATTCATATCGAATTGCAAGAATATTATTATAATTTATTATTATAATTTTCTCCATCCAAAGAAGACATGTGCTATTGGTATTGCATATCTATTGAGTCAATCTAGAAATAATTTATTCAATAAATTATCCAATGAAAAAGTTTAGTCACAATTTTAGCATACGAAATTTAATTTTCTTTGTTGTATACGAATTGACATATAACTATATACAGTCCATGCATATAACATGCAAGACAAAACCCATCAAGTATAATTAAAAGATTTACCAAGGCTTTATTATATTACATTGTGTTGGCATCTGTCAATTCATCGCAAACAAAGAAAACGTACATTGTATTAAAATACACATTTAGATGTTTTGAAGACGTATTAGAGACCTGGAAAAATGTGTATGTTTTAAATAATGCTGAGCTAAAGACCCGGCTAGCATAACTAATGTTAGCTTAATATGAGAACGCATGTGCATGGCGGGATCATAGTAGTACATTTGATGCTCTTTAAGCCAATCATTTAGTAAATATGAAAGACCATGAAGTTATACTACTCTCATGAACTTATACGCAATCACGCTTACCTTTTGAAGGAATCCACAGCAGCAAAGAAATGCCAAAATGCACCACACCAGGGCCCGACTACTGATCGTCCAGTCCATGTTTTCTGGTCTCAAGCCCTGGGTTAGACAGTCTGTACACTTGGTGACTACATGTAGCCTCAGATCAACCAGCTACCAAATATCGTAGAAGAACCATATGTTTAAACAGTAAAAGCATTGAGTTAAACCCCACTACATAGCATTAGTGTGGGTTCTTCCTGAAGTGAAACGGTGGGGGTTGGACTTTGGGATAGAAGATTGGGCGGGACGCAAACACGATGCCAACCAATCACAAGAGAGCTGCTGTAACCGGAAACAGTATTCCTAGGCTGCATCCAAATTCTGCAAATACACTTCCTTCCATGTCTTTTCTTGTGCTTTGAGATTGACCTTTTGCAATTCGTGGTATCTCAAAGTTTGGGGAAATGTAACGCCTTTTTAAGACATTTTATTGTCACTTAGCTAAATGTTGATGCAACAAATTGTCGATAAAAAAAGATTGAGGGATTTTTCTTGCCGAATTCGGACACACATTTACATTTGACTCTTCCTACGCTACTTCCGCTCTGACTGTCCGTCCTGAGCGCACATGTTTCACAAGCTTCCACTGGACACAGTTGTTCATAAACGTGTCTGGTACTTCCTTGGACACAGTCTGGCCGGGTGAGACTTGTTTTGATATTTTTTTCATACGATATTTTTATAACATACTATATTTTCGATTTTATTGATGACTTCTGCATTCTTTTCAGCTCTAGGCCCGTCTCGTCTCACCCGACCTCGTGATGGCCCTGCATGCTCATAGTCTTCAGGTATGTTTTTATCTTGCATGTAAATATGAATTCTGTGTAACTCCAGTTGCTATACATGTGTTGCTGTTTTCTAGTGAAGCATGATTCCTCTGGATTGAAATATACGTTCGGGGTGTGGATCTAATGGTGAGAGACGCGGCATAGGTCTAATGTACATTAATGCTTAATGTAAGTGATGATACTTGTGCGTTAGACTTCTGATGTTCAAATGAAGTCATCTATTAATTTCTGATTGTAGATAGAATTAAACAGCGCTTTGTGATTCAAGATGAATCATTAAAATTAAATCGTGTATTTCTGTGCGCAGGCCTGTCTTTACAACATCCAGATGTACAGTAGGTAAGAATCAATTACAAATTAACGAAATGAAAGAATGGTTCTATTTGATGATCACTGATGCGTTAGACTTCTGATAACTTCTGAAGACAGTACACACTCTGAAAGGACCCACACCAAACATGACAATTTAAAATATGTTGGACCAAAACATAATTTTAACAAAGTACTTTTTCTTTCTCTACAGGTATTGAACTTTATGATGAATTTTGTGTAAATAAAAATAAAGTGTCATGTAAAACAGTTTGTTTGATTTCTTCATTGTATGTGAAAATTATAAAATTTTCTTAAAGCAATGTCTAAAGTAGTGCTTTAAAGGACTCAAGATTTAGGAATTCGTGTTTTACTAGCTGAATGTAGTTCAAATGCCTGTTATCATAGAAATAAGATGCCATCATTTGCACTAGCTGTAGTATAGTTGTCCTAGAGTTGTCGGATATCACAACATATAATTTACATGGAGCAAAAACAATCACATTTCAAGCAAAAGTTTTTATTGATCCACAATGATCAATTGTAACATTTTGTGACATCACTGAACACAACAGTAATGTTAAGCACTGTGCAAAAACACCCAAATTAAACTGAAAAATAATGGGACTTAAAACAAAAATGGCTCACTATGAGGGAATGTTCATTATTTAAAGGCACTTTCTGCCTCATTTCACAATACATAAAACATAAAAACAGTTTCACCTTAGAGAGCGGCTGGATGTCTTGGCAGACTGGAATAGGCTGTATCAGTAAAGTCTGTTGGCGACAGTACACTCATACACAGAACACAAACACTAACAGCATTCATTAGCTGGATGATAGATTACATAATAAATAATATGGCTGATATCCAGTTAAATGAAAACATACAAGTAAGTCTCCTGGTGCAATCAAACACTTGTACATTACATGTTATAAAGAAACAGTGCTTCACTATTCATGTCCCTCAGTTCTCCCAGTTCATTTGATTGCTTGTTTTCCACCACACACTGCACACACACAACTGAAAACACTTTGGCAATAAAATCAATTACTTATTTTTAACTCCAAACAAAGTATTAAAAAGCACAAATTCTTGAAAGCTCCTATACATCTCCTTTTTTACATTCATCTAAAGGCATTATTTAGCTGTGTTGATATTTATACAGCTTGTAATAAAGCCAGTTCACGTAAATCTTGAATCTACCACAATGTATTGCCTATCTACAGCAATTGGAGCCTTTAAGATGGACACAGTGTCAATATTTCTTGCATACATGACACCAGTAAGAACAAAAATACCATGAAATGCATATGGTGGCATTAATATCGTTATCATACAAAGTATACAAAAAAAAGAAAAAAAGATAACATATTTAATAGATAATTATAAACGTGATGGCTATTTGGTGGTCCTATTCATTTCTGAGTCTTGAGTTATGTTTTTTTTTTTTTTCAAACCACTACATTTTACTTTCAGTCTAAGAGCTTCAAAGGCAGCCACTGGCAATTGGACAGAAATAAAAAGTACAGTAGAGACCCATGCGAGGACCCGGGCTGTACCTTTAGCTGCTGATGGGCCAGGTACTTGTTGTCTATTCAGTCATATTGCCGTGACGATGGTCTACAAGTCCTCTTGCTTACATATGTCGGAGACCTCAGATTCAGAGACTTCTGGGTCCTTCAAGGCCTCGTTTGTCACAGTCACCAGGTTGACATTTGAACGCGTGTCCATCGCAGAATGCATTAATGGGAGCCACACATCGTCCATGTTTGGCATCACAAAGATTTTCTGCAGAAAAGAATCAAGTCAGTCATATATGGTAAGATGTAGGGGTATAAAAAAACGGAATGTGCTTTTAGCTAAAGTCAAAATGTATTTGATAATTTTCAGGTTGTACAGTATGATGCTTTATGGAAGTACATCCAAATATTATCAGAATAAAAACAATTTTTAATGTACCTGAAACTCCTGATTTAGCTTCTTCTCAATCCAGTCTGTTACATGTCCTAAAGTGACCTCTCTTTCGCCCAGTTTTGGTCGGGCTTTGAGCTCCAGATGAGGTGGAGTCCGGAAACCATACCTGAAAGTGTATAGGTTTTTAAATCTTCTGATTGCTGGATTTTTTTTAGATTATACAAGTATTTAGATTAGTTCAATATCTAATCAGAATCAGAATCATTTTTATTGCCATGTAAGAAACAGGAAGTCACAAAATAGAATAAGGCTAAATAAGATATTTTTAAGTATAACATTCTCAAAATCATAAAAATATAAGAATCATTAATACATACAAGTGCCTTTGGTGCACACATTATACAATTTACATTAAGTGCAGTGAGGTGACGGCAGTAAAGGGAAAACATTGTGCAATTCTATTTTGTAGTTTTTTTAGAACAGTTATAGAGCTTCATCTATTTTTTTTTACTTCTCCAGTCCACCTCCAGGTTCCAGAGAAAACCTTCGTGTCTCAGAGGGTTTTCAAATACCGTTTTTAAAGATTAAAAGCTTGTACTTGCCTGAGCAATGACCATGTTTTTTAAATTTGGAATATTTTGCCAAATTTTACGTTTGAAACCCCCTACACTGTAGTATTATAGATACTATGATACACTTAATATTTGGATTTTTCAAAACTCTACAATTGAATTTAATTCATACAGCACTTTTTTCTACTTTCAACATTACCTTTCAAATGTACCAAGTTAAAAGCAAAAAGCTGTTAGAAGCAAACGGTCAAAAGATACTAAATACATCTATGCAAATGTTGCTTCTGCAACCAGAGCAGCAGAGCATTGTGTCAGTGGCACTAACAATATTATTGTGACAGGGCTAGTCACGCATAACAAATGCATTTTCAAACAGGACAAAACATAATTTGCATAGAAAGAAGTAACTTATGAGAGCAACTGCATTTTACTGCTCACACAGCTGCTGAAGTCATTCCATATTTGACCACCAGAGGGAGCTCAGACAAATGGCATCCAGACGCTAAAACGCTTGAAATAAAAGTACCATATTCTGTCTGTAGGAGGGGGCGGGATGTTGACAGCCAAGGTCCCTTTGCACTCCTGCACCTCCACAGTCAGCAGCAGAGGCGTATTGGACACCTCCTCCATCTTCTTCTTGATGAATTCTGTTTCTGTTGCTTTCTGGAAGTATTTGGACTTGGCAATTTTGTCCACAAAGCGCATGATCTTACTTGGACGGTGCCCTCCCACGTAGCTACAAGCACACAAAAAAAGAAAAAAGGAGGTGGTAAGAAGTGAGTCAGGTTCATAATTAATTCATACAACAATCTTCTGCCGTTCAGCACCCACTCTTAAGATGCTGTGTCACGCATTACATCGACAGCGTCAGACATTAGCAAATGAGTGGGTGGTATATTTTATAGTCGTCTGAACAACACACTCAAATTATTCGAGTTTGATTTTATAATGTGGTGAACTCACCCTTCAGCTCCAGGTATAACAGCTTTGTCGCTAAGCAGTTCTGGTGGCTCCTCCTCATCTGAAGACCCAGCACTTGAAGATTCCTCGTCACTGTCGGCTAAACAGTAAGTTCTGGGCCTGGACCTGTCAAGCACACGCGTTTATTATTCAGTGACAGACACACAGGTTTTACATGTTATGAACTAAATGATTTGCATTCCTTAAAGAGGAAGTATTATGAAGTGTATTTTCTTTCAAGTTTAGAAAATTAAATATTATTTTAAGTAGAAACTATATGCTGAAACAAGTATGAAGGGTAAAAAAATGCTTTCTGTCTGTAACTCCCAATACTACCATGAGAGGGAGGAGTTAAAATAAATGTTGATAAAAAAATTACCAGTTGCAAACGCAGCCATGCGATTGTAAAGAACATAATTTTACCAAAAAACTAATCTATGGGCTCGACGTTTGGTTTAAAAGGCAGAAAACTGTTCTGAGCAGATAGTGATACGATAACGTCATATTATTATAGGTCTGAAACAGAAGCTATTAGCGTGGACAGATCAAAAAACCACTCCAGGTCTCCAGGTTTTTGATCAGAAAACAATGTTGTCATTTTTGCATATTATTTCCCCTTTAAAATATATCTATTTAATGTGTATCTGTCTGTCCTTATTATTTATGAGAAATGATCCAGGCAACAGGGCAGATATCAGCATCTTTTCCCAAACTCACCATTGACCGTGAAAGTCCACGAGGTTTGCATTAGAGAGAGGATTGTGGAGAGGGGAAAGAGTGGAAGAACCAGCAAAGGAGGATGTGTAAATAACATGAATTTATTTATTTTACACCTGACGCAGCAGTTTTAAATGGTACAATACTTTAACAATGACATTGATTTCATTTCTTTTCATATATAATCTATCTTACCCTTCTTTGCCTTGCTCTCCCAGCCCCTCTCCCTCCTTTCCCAGGCGAGCTAAGTTCATCTTGGTTTCTAACGTCATGAGGAAGGAGCCGCCATATGTGATCTCCAAATCGAACCACAGACCTAAACACAAAACACAAACAACATATTGAAAAAAGTTCCTCTTTTCATTTTTTCTCCTCAGTCCACCGATACATTCATTCATTTGTAGGTCATGCTAGGAAAATAAGACAGTGACTGATCTTGATGTTTAATTGTGGTCTTTGTGGTCCAAGATAAGATATACTTTATCGATCTCACAATGGAGAAATGTATTGATTTGCATCCTAGCACTGGTGGGACTGTGCAATATCATGGCATTTTATTGGGTTGAAATTGTGCAGACGAGCTTGTCCTGATGTTGAGAGTGTCTTGTAAGTTTGTGTCCAAAATCCCAGTTTAAGCCTAAAACAAATCTCCCTGAGGGGACAAAAAAGTCGAACCTAAAACCTTTCAAAAAAGCAAATATTTGGTATGAGAAACACGTTGATTTTTGTAATAAAAACACAGTGATATAAATGCACCATTTCAACAACACTGAGCATGAAGGAAGAAGACTGAACACATGCCGTAAATATTTACTTTACATATTTTTGACTTAGTAGTGACCCAGTGGGTGTATGAGTGGGCATCATGGTTGTGTCTACAGTGCTCCAGGATCAGTTGTGTTGGTTTTCTGGTGCAGGGCGCCGTCAACAGAGAAAACTTCCAAACAATGGATTCTATAGCATCCTACGTATGTTGGGATATTGTTTGCCTTTGGAAATCATTCAATATCACCTGATTGGCTATTACAAATAGCTTTTTCTTTGTGTTCGTTTGATTTTCTATTCAATACACTTTAAAAGTATCACTTACTGTACAGCTGGTGTCATGTGAGTGTTTTCAATGATAAAGATTTGACTCGGCTCAAAAAGGTCGGGAACACTGTCCTAGAGACCACAGTCCTAGAGAGACCACAGTCCTAGAGAGACCACAGTCCTAGAGAGACCACAGTCCTAGAGAGACCACAGTCCTAGAGAGACCACAGTCCTAGAGAGACCACAGTCCTAGAGACCACAGTCCTAGAGACCACAGTCCTAGAGAGACCACAGTCCTAGAGAGACCACAGTCCTAGAGACCACAGTCCTAGAGACCACAGTCCTAGAGAGACCACAGTCCTAGAGACCACAGTCCTAGAGACCACAGTCCTAGAGACCACAGTCCAAGAGACCACAGTCCTAGAGACCACAGTCCTAGAGACCACAGTCCAAGAGAGACCACAGTCCTAGAGAGACCACAGTCCTAGAGACACCACAGTCCTAGAGACCACAGTCCTAGAGACCACAGTCCAAGAGACCACAGTCCTAGAGACCACAGTCCTAGAGACCACAGACCTAGAGACCACAGTCCAAGAGAGACCACAGTCCTAGAGAGACCACAGCCCTAGAGAGACCACAGTCCTAGAGACACCACAGTCCTAGAGACCACAGTCCAAGAGAGACCACAGTCCTAGAGAGACCACAGTCCTAGAGACCACAGTCCTAGAGAGACCACAGCCCTAGAGAGACCACAGCCCTAGAGAGACCACAGTCCTAGAGAGACCACAGCCCTAGAGACCACAGTCCTAGAGAGACCACAGTCCTAGAGAGACCACAGCCCTAGAGAGACCACAGTCCTAGAGAGACCACAGCCCTAGAGAGACCACAGCCCTAGAGAGACCACAGTCCTAGAGAGACCACAGTCCTAGAGAGACCACAGTCCTAGAGACCACAGTCCTAGAGAGACCACAGCCCTAGAGAGACCACAGCCCTAGAGACCACAGCCCTAGAGAGACCACAGCCCTAGAGAGACCACATCCCTAGAGAGACCACAGCCCTAAAGAGACCACAGTCCTAGAGAGACCGCAGCCCTAGAGAGACCGCAGCCCTAGAGAGACCACAGCCCTAGAGAGACCACAGCCCTAGAGAGACCACAGTCCTAGAGAGACCACAGCCCTAGAGAGACCACTGTCCTGTTATATACAAGGCACACATGCATGATCCTCATCTAAAGCATATGTGAGATTTCATAACACTTTTAAGCAACTTTTGTTAAAGTTAAACTCATCATTCTATCAATGTGCAGAAGCCAGTACTTTGCCCTTGTTTTGTCTATCTGAAGGCCAAGCTACAAGCACACCGTGGAAGCTGCTGATTGGAGGTCTCCATGCCTCTGCTCTGTATAATACACTTGCATTCTATTGTATCTGTGATCGTGTGCTTTGATCGTGCTGTCTCTACCATTGACAATAAAACATGTCTTCTGTCTGAATTTAAGACGCGATCCCAGACTTGGTACATCTTCTTCAGGTGGTGGAAGGATGCGGGCCTTGTCTGTAACATCTAGAGAACAGAAGACTTTTTTTTTTTTTACACAAAAAGTGTTTTTTTTTAAGCCAAAACTGAGAAACCTCAAGAGAATGCATCTGGACCAGCACACTTGGACTATCTGCACAGCCCCTGAGTCCACTCAGGCCTGCTGTGAGCTGCTGAGACATGGACAACACCATGCGTCCTCTTTTGCATGGACACCATTTGGAAAAATTGGATTACACAATTTGGACATAATTTGGAACAATTGGATTTCTGAATTTGGACATAATTTGGACTGAATTGAATTGCTAAATCTGGACACTGAAGCTGAAACGTGTGATTGAAAGACACGTCACAGAAGAATTCATGGCTCGACACAAATGCAGCCTGAAGAAACCAACACGGAGAAGTGGGAGAGACTGTTTTCAAAGCAATATCTGGAACCACCATCGACTGATGAAGTTTGGTATTTTACTGAAGATTGTTGACAAGTTTTATGAAAGATCTGAACATGTTTTATGAGTTTTTGAAGTATTCCGAGTTCTGAGTTTTTTGAGGTACCGAGTGAAGTACCGAGTTTATGAGTTTTTGAAGTATTGAGTTATGATGTTATGTTGCTGTTTATCGATCCTGATGGTCACACGTGAATGTATGACCAGAGGGGGGAATATGAGATTTCATAACACTTTTAAGCAACTTTTGTTAAAGTTAAACTCATCATTCTATCAATGTGCAGAAGCCAGTACTTTGCCCTTGTTTTGTCTATCTGAAGGCCAAGCTACAAGCACACCGTGGAAGCTGCTGATTGGAGGTCTCCATGCCTCCGCTCTGTATAATACACTTGCATTCTATTGTATCTGTGATTGTGTGCTTTGTTCGTGCTGTCTCTACCATCGACAATAAAACATGTCTTCTGTCTGAATGAAAGACACGATCCCAGACTTTGACATCTTCTTCACATACATACAACAGAAATGGTCATGTTTAGACGGCCCCAACTCTAACGTTTTACTGTCGCAGCGTCCTCGTGTAAACGGCTCATTAAACTCCATGAACCATACATACTTTGATAATATGTATACTATGTCACATCCACGTTTTTATGATGTTGTTCCATGTTTTCTATGGCCATATTGGTAGCACTTGACAAAAGCCATTACTCAGATACTAATTATGTGCTTGGATCCACTGACACAGCGTCATGAGTAAATGTGTGGGAGTGTTCTCTCACAGACACAAGGCGGTAATAGCATCACACTCTCTGCTGTGAACACCGGCTGCCAAGGGAGACACACAGAGGACAACAAAGATGCCACTCCTCAGTAAAAATTCTTCGGTCATTGTGCACTAAGAAATAAAGTGTTGGATTTAACTGATAAAGTTATGTAATGATAAGAAACCTTGTCCACATAACTCTAAATTCAATATTTTACTTGTATTGCCCTGCATCACAACAGCGGTCGTCTCGTAGGACTTTTTGCAGGTGCAGCTCAAACAACAGATTAGAAAATCAATTAGTTCGAACACAGGAAATGCAATCACAAAAACACATCAGAGCCATTGTTCCGTAGGGAGCGACCATTGTCCATAAATGTTAATAAAACTATGTCAGGTTGGGTTTAGTTGAGTCCAACAATAATGTTACTTTTAATTCACTTCATAAATTCAATCCAACCAGAAAACGTTGCTTAACTTGATCCATTAAATTACACATTGTTTATATTGTTTATACTTACTGTCATCAATAGAATATGGACTCAAGCGAGGAATTAATCATTGAAAAATATCTACCAGCAAAAGATATTAATATATTATTGATTTTTTGTTCATATGAATTAATTAATTACATTTATTTTTGAATTAAATCAATAAATACAAATAGAAAGTATGTTTAAATGAATATAAGATGCATATGAAAGAGGGCCCGTGTACCTTGGTGGTCCACAGTGGGATTGGAGGCCTGCAGGATCTTTGGAATGGAGCAGCCCATGTCCAGCTCAGTCAGAGTCAGTTCATTCATTACATAAGGAAGCTGTTAAAGAAGAATAAATGTCAATTTTAACCAAATCGTGTCTTCACTGAGCGTTTACTTGTGCCTCTACTCACTCTGATCTTACTGAGCTTCATCTGAATCTTTTTGGAGACGACATCGGCCCAATACTTCTCACCAAGAAAGTCCCAGAAGATCCTCCCCAGAAAAGCATTGACCCAACCCTCCGGTTCTGCAGGGCCTTCTGCACTCCCCTGTTCCTAATGCCACAAAACAAACATGAAATTATATAATAAGGTCATGATTGGTCAAAATGTATTCAAATCCTTGAGGACTCTTGACATTGGTTAAACTATTCTCCTCCTGCCAACTGCTTGTTGAATTCATGCCAAGGGGTGGGACAATTTAAAAATATATTTTTAATGATATGTTTCTAAAACACATAAAATCTACATTATTTTAAAAACAAAATACAATTTAGGTTGCTGACTTCACCTTTAAGGGTTAATAAATCTTTAAAATTACTGATTGAGTCACTTTAATACAACTTTTAAGGCAACTCAATCCTTTAAAAAAAAGTTACTTCACAGAAAAGTTTTTTTTTTTCAATTAAGAGCTGTTCTTATTGTTCTAACCTCCTTGTTACCTGCTATTAATTACATGGCTCCTCACAGCAGCCGCAACGCTCCATTGATTTGAAAGCAATTTCAAAACGTTCTACCGGTCATTATTCTTATAACAGACCTCTCAAAACAATAATGACCGCTGCCCATGGCAACGCACTCTCTGCTTGTAATTCATGTGTGTAGATTGCTCCGCAAGTAGTTCCGGCCACTCCGGAGCAAACCACGCTCAAAAAACGCAAATACCAATCAATCAACACAATTAAATGTTAATCGGAGAATACACTAGACATATACATTCTTAATACACATGCAAGGAGGATTTCAGTATTTTCTGTTAAGGTTTCGTGACCAAAATACTATTTTAATGCGAGAAAAAGCGATCGCAAAAAACCCGGAAGTAGATTCCGGGACATTTTAGGAACATTTGCAAAGGATCAAATTATGGATTTAGGTTAGGTTTATGTTTGGGTCACTCACCGCTGATGTTCAGAATTCTTTGTTCTGTTTTCATGCAGTTCCAGAGAGTTCTAGTTTGGGAGTTGCTAGTCTAACTGTTGCTAGCCTAACTGTTACTCGCATAGCCACGGGAAAACCTTTGGGAACTATTTTATTTTCTGTCATTAAATAAACCTTTTGGCATTCCTAAGAGTGGACTAAAGTTTATTTTGTGTGTGCTGTTGGTACAAAGCCGTATAATAAGCGGGATAATGTATAGTACACAGGTCATTATCGGAAAATAAGTACCTTCAGGGCCCTGTCGGTACTTATTTTCCGATAATGACCTGTGTACGATACATAATCCCTTACATACCTCACACTTACAGTAATTGTTATCAAAACTAGATTAAATAACAACAAGATTATTTGCACTTTCGTCAACATGTATTTGTGTCTCTTGCCTTTCTTGCTGCTTTGGGGCTGCCATCAGGGCTGCTCCCTGCACTGTCTCGTCCAGGCGGACTCCTGGGTAGAGCTTGTGCAGTTACATATTTGGACATGTAGACGTTGTAATCCAGGAGCAGCTTCTGTTTTGGGGGACAGGGCAGTGTGGCGGCGGGGGGCAGGTCTTTGCTTCTCCCTGGAGCCTGAGACACCTCTTCCAGACTTCCCTGACTGGTGCTCCGGCTCTCTGCATCCAGGCCCACGAACGCCTGGGGACTGCTGCTGCGGCTGAGGGCTGGCAGGAAGGCTACAGGGGCACATTCACATAGACACGTAAAGGGTAATACTTGGAATTGTAAAGTTTATATAGAGAGTTTGGGAATTCATTTGAAATGTAATATTTAATGGATTTGCCTTATCTCATGGATTTGACTTGATTTGGTAATGAGATGGGACAAAATAATTTTAGTATGAATATCAGTTTAGTATGAATAATAGGATAATCCAAAAAATGCCAATACTCTGGACATAAGTATAAATGCATTAAAGTGAATGTCAGTTATTTTTCGATTCAATTTTGCATAGCCCTAAATTATAACAGCAGTTGTCTGGGAGGACGATAAAAAGTGGTCGATTCATAAACACCAATGAGAGAATAAAACAGTTCAACACAAGAAAAAAACACAGCCATTGGTCCATAGGGGATGACTCTCCTGCCTCAGCAAGGGACAATTCAAAAACCCAGTGGGTTAAAGTGAGATACCTCGGGGAGGCCCACATTGAGAGAGGGATCCACTCCCACAGACGGACAAGCTATTCATTACTGCTCTTTCCAACTTGAGAAGAGAGGGTAAAAGTTTTTGAAAACAAGCACTGTTTAGATTCCATGCTCACCCGCGCAGCCTCCTGATTGATCTAAACTAATTTGAATCCTTTAAGCGTCTTGTCATTGGTTTGAGCTATTCTCTTTTAGCAAATCACTTAGATAGAAATGACTTCATTATGCCAAGGGGAGGGCCCTAGAGGACTGTGGTCTCTCTAGGGCTGTGGATACTATTGTTGGATAATACTTACTGTACATAATAGTACAGTGTTCCATGGTCTGAAATATATATTCTTTAAAATATAAAATAACTGTTGCTGTTAGCACCATTAACACAGAATTCTACATTCCCTGTCCCTAATTTCCTTTCTATGTAACATTTAACACTTTTTACCATTCTCACAATGCGCTGTATCAGCAAACCTGCTTATGTTCCGTCGGTTGTAAATGCAATCTTGAGTAATCGTGTTCATCCTCTCCAAGCGATACCAATCTTCCCTTTTCACTAGGCCTTATCCTCTCCGGCTTACACCCAGAGGTCCAGTGCTGCTTTTCTGTGCATGTAATCCTGCTGACCCATTCGCACACTCCCCCTTTTCATTCAGTCTGGGGATGGCGTAGGCTTACGGTGTTTGAGGCAGGAACACAACAGTACTACTCATGTGAAGTATTTAGAGTTATAAAGAAGTACAGTCTGAGTTTTAACAGCACTGAAAGATCTTAACAATCAAATGATGTGCCTTTGTCTCACCACTCTTACTGACAGCAGGCAGACGAGTTTCCGACTTTGCTCGTGACGCCACCAGAAATCGCCGAAACCATTCCTCCTTTTCGCGCCCGGTTCGTCCAAACAGATAGATGGTCAGATCCCCTCCTCCTGAAGCCGGTCGTTTGGGCTCCTCTGTCGCGCCTTCCACTTTCTCTTTCTCACATTTGTCGAGCTTCTCACTGAGAGGAACCGTTCTGTCCTCGGCAGGGTCCAGCTTCTCGCCCTGGGTCTTGGACAGGAAGTCATCCTGTTTGGCCAATTCGATGCAGATGGGATATTTTTTATTCCACACTCGCTTCCTCGCCAGACTCTGGGGCATTAGGTAGATCTGTGAAAGCACAGTACGTTGTATCCTGATGAATAAATTAAATAAGGCTTCTTCCCACTTCATTTCAAGCTGATACATTGTAAATATAGTTGAACAACACATTGTGAAACAGTTAAATATTCCAGATACAGAGAATGATTTTCAGTACCACCGTTTGGTCGAGTGTCCAAGTCGTACCATTCCAAGTAAAGTCCTTCGAATGCAATGAGAATATCTCTTCACTGGTCGTATCATCGCAAAACTGCATTAAAAGTCAGTGGTTCATAATTAACCAAACATGTATTTAAACTCTACTGTACAAAGGTAGACATTGTATGAACAACAACTCCGCCTCGGCCGTTTCTCAGATTTGGCTCAAAATGGCTCCACATCATCTACACACATGGAGCATTAAAAGCTATCAACAGAAATGATTGGTTAAACGGTACGCATTTACAGTATTAGTGTTTATCGCTTCAAGGCTGTATGTAGATGGGATGTCAGTGCTCCCTCCTTTGCACATTGTGGCGAGGGCTGTTAGACACCGCTTGCGGCTTTAATTAGTAAGTACGTTTTTATTTATATACCGCCTTTTCACTGCAGATCTGAGTCTCAAAGCGGTTTACAATTGTTAATTTTGGGCATTTGTCTCTCACTCCACACAGAGATGGGAGCGGGGTCGCCAGTACAGGAAGCGCATGCCAGAACTATTTTTAGTGGTAGGGGAAACCGGAGTACCCGGAGGAAACCTACGCAGACACAGGGAGAACATGCAAACTCCACTCAGAAAGGCCCTGGTCCGACCGGGATTCGAACCCAGGACCTTCTTGCTGAGAGGCGAGAGTGCTATCCACTCAGCCACCGTGCCGCCCCATTATTGGATCTCCTGTGTTCATTCTCATGAATTAAGTTATGACAAATAAAATGTAATGTAGATAATGTACAAGAAAGCCAATTGGAATTCCATGGCCTTACACTTCTCTGTCTCCTTGAGCACATGCAAATGGTGATAGGAATAATGTATGTTTTGTCAGCCCCACTTTTCAGCTTGAAAAAATAAAAAGCATAACAAACTGTTACTCCACAGTTGTCTGGTAATTGTTTATGGTCTTCAAAAAGAAAGGTGGTTGTGGTTTCTTTTCCTCTGTAGTTGGACTCATCGCTAGATTCCGACCAAATACAGTCGTCACTTTCTGCCACTTTATTATATCATATCAAAGGACACTTATTTGATAAACTACAAATAGGTGTGTATTTATATAATAGTAGTTCAAGTATATCAAGATACTTTTGACTTTATTCTATAACTTGTTAGCACCATACATCAAAGCAAATTCCTAGTTTGTGACTTTCTTTTACTCACAATGGCAATACAATAATTATTTTTCTGATTCTAACCACAATATAATTAATATAATATAATTTAATAGTGTAATATTAGTATTTTCTTTAGCACAGGAGCAAAACAACCACTTTTGCTCCTCTAAAGCGTCATCAAATCAACGTAATTTACATTTTCTGAACAAACTAAATACAAGGGTTTTTCTAAAGAACACACGTGGCCTTGGGCTCACATTTGGCACAGTGACACGTTGGACTTGCAGCTGTGTTCACACGAGCAGATATTAGCGCTCTGTTTACATAAAAGCCACCGCCGCTGTCAAAATGAGTCGTTTTCTCACTGACCTTTTAGCAAACATGCTCTAAAGGCAAAGACGAATGGGAGGAGACGTGTGCTCCATGTCTCACTCGTTTAAGCTCAGTCCAACCATAACTTACAGCGCGGTGTCCGGGAAGCGCCGACGGCAAAGCATCCAAAATCATGATCCGCAGACTCACAAAGCATCCAAAATCATGAACCGCAGACTCACCTTGCTGTGGGTGAGGTCGTAAATCTTCTGGCTGATGTAGGTGACGTCTGGTTTGGGCTCGTTGTGGGTGGCGCGGCGGGAGATGTTGCGGTTGGGTTTGGACAGGCGCAGCACGGAGCCCTCCAGACGCACAAACACTGAGTGGGTGAGAGTGGCGTGGTACATCTCCGGATCGTAGTTCATGATCTCGTTCATCCAGCCCTGGAGAAGAGGAGAGTGGATGTGTCAATAGCATAATGCAGGCATGTCCAAACTCAGGCCCGGGGTCCAATTGCGGCCCTCAGTGTCATTTTATGGGGCCCTCTGTCTTGCTAATCCTGAGTAGTCTTTGAGATCATAAACACAAGATCACTGTGTCATCCATCCATCTTCAGCTCTGCCAATATAGACATGTCGTAAATCGTTCTAAAGCCCAGTACGTCTTCAGTCGTTGACTTTATCATTCAGCCAACTTCAACTCCATTATAGATCATTTTAAAGCTCAGAACAGCCCAATGCCAGTCAAGACAGTTTTTCAGTCTGTGACGTTGGCCTCTGGACTAGTCCGGTGACTAAAGTGGCCCTCTTACTAAAATATTTTGACAGCCCTGGCATAATGTGTCCCAGAAGGAGAAGGGTTAAGGAAAAGGTTTTATTATGGAGAAAACCGAACAGCTGCCTTCTGACCATGTGTGAGCACAGGGACAGACTATTGCAGATTGGTTGTCGGGTACTTGGCATGTTCACAGCACTTGCATTTACCCGATGCTCAACTATTCTCAATGTTTTGCTCTCAATATTAAATCATCTTTAATATTGTAAGCAACTTCAATCATATAAAATTGGAAAATAATGTATTTTTCTGAATATGGGGTACTGCCCTATAATGTACAGTGAGTATTTCTCAACAATCATATACCTCATGCATCAGTTTTTATACAGTCCTTTTGTTGACAGTTAAAGACGCTTCACATGGAAGTATTCATTCACTCCATACACAGTGGCACCTGGTGTTCCCCCAGGTCTCCCATCACAGTACTAACTAGAATCTGCCCTGCTTACCTTCAGAGGTCTGATGGGATCTTTACACCAACACACACATTTGTTACAATTAATCAGCTGGTCTCACCTTGAATATTCCAGGTTCCTTTATTTCCAGTTGAGCCACATTCCAGTTTCCTCCCCTCTGTCGACCTCTCCGCATCCCGGAAGACGAGATCTGAGGCGCTGACAACCATAACACCAGGAGTGCCAGCATAAACCCGGCCATCACCCCATGTATCACTGAGTACATATAAGGGGGCAACGGTAGGATCAAATACCAGTATACTAATTGTGTTAAGAAGATGAGTCCTGTCACTGGAATAGTTTCTGCTTCATATGTTTCTTCTTCCTCCAAGTCCCAGTCACTAAGTCCTGTGACAGCTTCGGGGAGTCTGCAAATAGTTTGACTGCCATCGGGCGTCTCCGTATCCGTACATATGTCAAAGTCCTCGCTGTAGAGCTCACAAAAGTCTTCATCTTCCTGTCGGGCCACCAGCGCCGACATAGAGCAGCGACCGAGAGTCAAGGAGGGCGATTTGGACAGCGGAAGGGAGGGTAGGGACGGAAACGAGAAAAATACTGAATCGGGTGCTTTCCCGATGGGGATTTCTTCATCCTCCTCCTCGGCCTCAGCACTCTCCTCTTTAATGCTGTAGCTGCTGTTTGCTTCGGAGTGACCGTTCACCGCTCCCGCCCCGCTGAGTTCAGACGCGCTGGACGAGAGAGATTTTCCACGATGACCCGATCCCCCACAGGCCCCACCTGTCCCGCCGCTCTCATCTCCTATGATCTTACTGAAAAGCTGCATGGGGTCCGACATAACCTCCGACAGCCTGCGTTTGGTGTCTTCGATTTTGGCTTCCACCTCCTGCACCTTGAAAAATGACCTTCCGTCTGGGGACATGATGGGCGAAGAAGGAGCCGTCTTGGAGTCGCCCCCGGTTTGGTGTACCACGACAGGCGAGGTGGATAAGCGTGGTTGGGAGAACTGTTTGAAAAGTTGCATGTTGCGGGGTGGCGGCCGTGAGGAGGGGATGTGTTGGTAAGGATGCGAGCTTTCAGGGTCCTTTGAGGCATCTGTGCTCAGCGATTTAACAAAAGATTTCATCAAGTGGCGATGGCGAACATGGGTCGGCGCGACTGTCGTGGGCACAGGTGGTTGTTCTCGAGACTCCATGTCATTGGACAAGGACCGGACCAAGCTCAGGAAAGGTTTGGATGAGGACAGTGGTGCGGTTTTACAAGGAGATGATGTGTAGGAACTTGTGGGAGCGCTGGCCAGGGGTCTTTCAGAAGGCCATGACGAGCTGGTGTTGGTGACGGTGGGGGTTGGGTGAGGCTGGTGTGAAGTAATAGTCATGGCGACGGAAGAGGATAAAGATGGTTGTTCTGCTAATGGCTCAAACAGTAGTTCCTCCTGCACTGGCGTTTTAGAAAGGAACAGCTCGTCGTCTTCGTCGTCCTCCTCCTTCCCCAGCGCAGAGAAGTGGATGGTGATGGTGTCCCGCGAGTGAGAGCGTTGCACCTGCAGCTTGGGGGTCTGGCGCTGGGGCGGGGTGTCCACATGTTGGCCACTCCCCTTGCTGCTGCTGCTGCCCTGAGCGCTCATCACCAGCCGGCACAGGGCTCACAGCACACTGCAAAAAGAGGAGAAAAACAGCATGTTTGTAATTCATCATTTATGTGGCATCAATATTCAAGAGCAACAACAGTCAATGTGTCTTCTCTGTTTTATAAAGCAGTAGTGATGATGTGTTTAGTCCCACAACATAAATACTGTACATATTACTGTACAAAAGAATACAAGCTACGATTTGTTAAGATATTTCTCTCATTTTACCTAAACTCAATTATCTGAGGCTTATGCGCCTCATGTGCTACAAAAAATTGTCAAGGAGTTGATAAAAAATACAAAACTCGACGACTACTTCAGAAAGTGAACTTAATCTGCTCCTTTTCATTTGTGCGACAAGACGACAATTATTTGAAATGTAATTGTAATATGAGTAGTATTGTTTTTGTCCACAATTGAAACAAATAAATAAATAAATATTTATTTTAAATAAATAAATAAATGTAAATCTAGATTCTAGAATCTAGATTTACATTTGAATTTGGGGCACCACTACTTGTTTTACCCATCCTGAAGTTGTCCACACCAAAATGGCAACTTTACTTTAAGAAAGATTCAGTATTATATGCACAGTAAATGGCAATAGAAACATGAGAGGCCTCTGTGTACTTCCTCACTTGGTTTCAAGCTAAGTTCAATTGAAATGCAGTGGCAGAATTGTGTATTTTAGCTATAGTCCAGCTATAAAAAGCATGAATAAGGCAGCTGAAAAAGCCTGGACAGGAATGCCTGTTTTCCTCAATCCATTAGCTTCATTATGCAGGTCTGTGTGCGTGTGGCTGTAGGCCTTGGCCTCCGTGCTTCAACATTAGTCCAATCACTCACTCGCGCTCACTATGGCAACATGATTAATGGTCTCCCTCTGAGTACAGATCCTTCTGAAGAGCTCTGTCAACATTTTCACTGCGTTTCCGTCCACACGCCACAGGAGGCACCGCACAGCTGAGACTGGGACGGAGAAAGAAATAAATAGCGTCTGGCCAGGCTACAAAAGAAAAAGACTCGCTCGTGACATGATTGTCATGTTTAGCATCAATGTTGTAATCTGTGTATATATAGAAATGCATTTTCTCTTTTTTTAGTATCCTATTAAAATATGAACCAATTTGAGTCCGAAATAAAGAGGAATAATAATTCTAGCATGTAATATAATGTCAACTGACTCAGATCTGCATTGGGAACTGTTGAATACAGTGAATAAAGAAAATAAAATCTGTGTGTTATAATATTTTGAAAACAGATCACATCAGTTCATTTTAGTATGGTACGATGCCTTCTACCATCTTCCCACTAACGAATTTAGTGTTACAGAATTGTAGCAACACATTATTTGCATAAGTAGAGTGGAGGTAGTTGCGTCTCAGTGGCTGCACAGGCAAAAAGATTGTTCATTGTTATCCTAGATAGGAAGTCATTCATCATAAACTTCCCTCGACCACAGCCTCGTGTCCCTGTGTATTCTTCCACTTCACACAAAGCGTATCGTGTTATCAAATAGACGCATTAACAGTAGTAGTAGTAATGGAGAGTGGAGATAGAAGTAATTTCTGGGGATTGCGTGGCTCACACAGGCCTTAGGGCACAAGTCGGACACAAAGCTTAATCTGACTTTCAGGCCATTTGCACTGTGGTTGTATCATTCTGGTAGGCGGGTTGTGTAAATATGTTATGGCTGAATTAGGAGAACGGAAAATTCAATCAAAGTGAGGAATTGAGGAAAGAAAATAAGGATGAGCCTCAACGGGGGAGTGCAGAGGCTGAAGAGTTTGAAGTAGTGCCAATTAGTGGCACACTATCAGAGCAGGCTGGAGGACAGAAGCCACAGTGAATGTATAGAAAACAAATACATAGATGAAGGAAAGTATATCAGGAGTAGCTTAAAAAGAGAAGGCATCAATGGCACATTTAATCTGCATTATTTTCTGTCCCTCCTTGGAGCCCTTTGATAGAAAAGTGCAGCCCATTCTTTTATTTTTTGTCCACACATGTTTTCATCCCCTTTGTCATTCCATTTCTGGGTTGGGGGGTGGCAATCAGAGCTGCCACCAAATCCTCAAAGCACCTCAAGACACAGCCTTGGTCTTTCAAGTGTCTTGCCCAGGGACACAACAAGACCAGACATCAGTGGAAGCAGTCAAAACATGAGTCAAAATAAACATATTTATGAGAAAAAGAATGGAAAAATACCACACCACCAGGTATTAAGATGTATTTCTTTCCTTTGGTTAATTTTTCATCGCCATTAAGTTAATAATTCAATCATTTCAAGCAGTTATGCTGGGGGCATTATATTCAAAAGCTCTCAGTAAAAGCATAAAAGATTTGAGGCAGAATTAGGAATTTGGTCATTTTAAATTCTTTGATAGAAAGGTACTTTATTGATCCCCCGAGGGAGAAATTCAGGAATATCTTCAGAGCTGCTAGGACGTACTGTCGTTTTCCAGAACATTCAAATCAACCACTGAACATGAATTAATTATGGTATAAAAAGAGCACAAGAATTGATACAGATTGGGAAAATCTGCATGTTGAAATGTGTCTGTGCTGTCCGGAGTCTGCTGACAGGCCGGTTCCAAAAGCAGTGTTTCTGGAGAGCAGGACAGACAGCGAACTGGCACCAACACAACAAATCCAATTAATCAAAGTGAGCGGCGCCCTCTAATCAGCTCAAGCTCGTGTCAGGGAGGCAGCAGAGAAGAGCAGCAGAGACTTCAGCATCACAGCAAGAAAAACTCACACTCTCATCACAGCGGATAAAGAAAAACTCACATCTGGTCCCCACGGAGGGGCAGCACTCCAGGCGCCTGTTGGTTCAACGGCAGAGCACTCATTACTCTCCACTTGAATACATATTTAAGTTATCGCCAAAACTCAAACCGAACTTTTCCAGAGTTTGTCATTTTGATGAAGTTTCCTATCTTCTACTTCCTCGTTCTATGTCACATATACATACAATGTTACAGGAAACACAGAGGGGGCTGACTCCATCTCAAAAAACAAAACAAAAACACTTACATTTATTATTGCAGTGATATATGGAACATACATTGAAAACCATTGCTGTTTTTTGTTCGCATTAACAAGATGGATATGGTAAAAATCAGGAATGTCATGTGAAGATTTCAATATTTCTGCAGTTGCTTAAATGTAGGGATTTTATATTTTTTTTATCTTTCTTTTTGATGTACTGTGGTTATTTATGATTTTAATGCTTTCTTGTTTTGTTCAGCACTTTGAGTTGCCTTGTGTATGAATTGTGCTATACAAATAAACTTGCCTTGCCTTGCCTAGTATTGATAATGGGGAAGGCACATACAGTATAAGTGCACGTACCTGTAAAAAAATAAAAATAAAACATGCTCAAATAAACTGCTGCTACCACTATATGTGTCTCTTTACTTCCACTCATCAATAATTACACACCCTAACTAATTAAATCATCATCTTTTCCTTAACTTTTCCTTCAAAATGTACCAATTTTAGCACAAAACAGATACTAACAAACAATCATGCTATAATATATCATATGTAGATGATTATAGAGTAAGATTTCCTTTATTCCCAGATTAGGGGACATTTCAGTGTTGCATTACAAGTTACAGAAGAGTGTACAGGAATGAGGACCACACAGCACAAGATAAATGCAGTATGGCAGCTCCTGGCAAGAGCTCTGGTGTGTGTCATCTGGTACACCGTGGGGTAGTCTTGCACAGTTTTTCCAATGTGGTTTTACTGCAAATGGCAAATAAATGAATCTGAATCTGAATAATAACTCTGAAAGTAATATATAGTTGTGTGTATGCATCTGTACATATATAGCATGAGATGTAAAGTTGTAAAGATGATTATACAATGAATATCTTTGTATATTGTAAAGGTATATTTTCCATAGATAGGTTTTATATATATATATGTGTGTGATCGCTGCAGGAGCCTCAGCTGATGGACAGAGGCAGAGGCAGATTCCATATGTGCCGATGTGCGTCTGACAGGCTCCGGTCGCCGTGATGGATGCGCCCAAAGCCTTACGCTGTCAATCCCTGAAACTGTAAAGACCTTAGCTACTATCTTGGTGTGAAACGCTCAGAATATAACTGTGAATAAGGTTGAATCTGTTTAGCCCATGTAAAAACCAAACCATTAGCAAAGTCACGAGCAAGCCCACATGGTTTTCATCCAGCCTCTCATTCGTCTTTGATTAGAAGATACGTCATTATTGTTAAAACTGCTGTAGGCATGGTCACAGTGAATACATTTTACTGACATAGTGTGACTGCTTCTGATGTGTGAAAACAGGCTTGTGAGATCATTCACAGAAGAGGGTCACTTTAAGAGAACTGATGTCAGAGAACTGATGTCAACCAGGAAGCCACATCTCAAGGAAATATAATGGATCTATTGTATGGTGAATCAGATCTACAGTATTCACCGTACAATAGATCGGCACGAATGCCCTAGAAATGGTGTATTCCGTGAGAATCAGGGCAGAGATGAAGACAGAAGTGCATTTGCAGAATTTGGTTCAGACCGAACTAACAATGCAGCCGAAATGACTAGAAGAATGCCATGAAGAAACCAAAAATCCATCCCAAATGCCACACAAGTGACCGCAAAAGCCAAAAAGAGACATGTCCAACTGCAAATAGTGGTGATTAATTTAGTTAGTGGCATATCAAGCTCCTGACACCATCACTGCATGTGAGAATAACCTCGCTTTCACAGATGACCCTGTGAAAGCTGCGACATCACACTCCGTCACCAAAGCAATGATCCAAGCGTCCGTCATAACACCAGTATTATGGATTATTAGAGGAGACTGGTGGTGTTACTATGTATGCATATTAACCTTTGTTTAACCAGGAAATGAATTTGTCAATGCAGTCAAAAGCTATGATACATTGTAACCAATCAGAAGCCATGATGCAGGCAGGACAACAGAGGGGGCATTTACCTCTTGGCGACAAGCGAGACCATTA